TAGATGACCATTTATTGGTATCGATCAAGCTACTGAGCTAGAATTACTAATCAGTACTACAATACGATAATACACATGAGCATTAATAAACAGACTAATAGAAAATGGGCCCTAAGTGCTGATTCTCTCTCTCTCGAAGTGCTCTTACATGGTCTCGAGTATACATTTACTGTCAGTCCTACTCACTATCTCGCGGCAGTGTGTTGTTTTCGAAATTGAGAAGACGAAAAGAGAATGTCCGGTATTTTAACATGGTTGGTGGATATGGAGAGTCCACCTAGGGGAGTTGGAAAACCCTGATTCCAAACCAATGGTGCACATGAGCTCCAGAAAATAAATGACGTATGAACGATGGGACTGCATCTCCTTGTAGTGGCTTTGCTTCGTTAATCGATCAACTCGATAACCAATGTAATATAAATTGTCAACGATGTTTGAAGTCAGAAGGCAGTGAAAAACGGCAGCTACAGTTTATTAGCGGATAACGCAGATCACAAAGCTATTAGCACATAGAGCGTATTTGAAGCGGAGAGGAGTAAAAGTATATATGAGCAATTACATAGGCAAATTTATAGTCAAATTTCATTGGGGTGCAGCAAGACAAGGGATAATAATAGGATTTGAATACATACTTACAAGGGGAGGAGGATGAATCATCGACTAATATTTAAGCAATCAACATTTAAGCTATAGTCTACCGTGTAATCCAGTAATCACAACGATACAGATAGTACTGTTTGTTAAATAAGTTAGTAAAAAAGACTAGCCAAAATTAACCATAATCGAAATCGACTGTAGGTTATTAGCTATATCCTAAAGTTGCCCCATTACCTTGTGAGTTGAACTTTTAGGTCAAAGGCTCCAGGTGTGGCCCTCTAAAATACCACCTGCCGCGGTTTTGGTGCCCGGACAATATCATAGCACACACGAATCAATGATGAATAATTCACAACCATTTGATGGCATTCGTTTTTATTTCTTTCATATCACGTCACTTGTGTACTCTCTTTTATTCTCATTTTGCTTACTTTAATTTTTAACTTATACAGCAGCTCGCTTATGGTGAAAGCCCTGTCCTATCCAAATGATCTCAAGTCACTGACTGATCGAAAGTTGAGTGCCACCACAGAATACGAATATTGAAGCAGTCTTTCTAAAACCACGTATGTCATCCAACCTGGTCTCCATCAACGTTCGCACACCAATGCAGATCAGACAATAAATAAAGCCTGATTATGTCTTTAGAAGTTTCAAAATCGACCTCTATTGTCTATCCGAGACCTGTATTCAAAACTCTAGTGAAGTACATCAAACTCGCTCTCCATCTGTCACTTTGAAAAGCTTGTTTCACGTGCGTTTATACGTGGACTCTGTCACATCTTCGTCTGGTTTTGCAGGCGTTTGTGTCGCACTAAGCTCCATAAATGAGGCGGCACTAATTTTTCGGGTCCCCATTAACAGTCGATTATGTGTTATATTAGAAAGCTACATTGAAGTGTGTAAATCGGTATGAGGAACAATGTTTATTTCGTCATCACCGCCCACGACACTACATATTGCAGCCTGGATGCGATGAAGAATGAGTTTTACCACCGGTTAACAGTTTTTCCACAGTAAGCGCGTTTCACAGATATCATAGTACTAGCAGGAGACTTGAATGTTTAGGTTAAGCATCAAGGCAGAGAAGAAAGTCCTTTAGGTGGCTGATGGGGTCTTGATGGACACAGAACAGATAACGATGATCATTTACTGCAAATTTGCGCATACTACAACCCATTTCTGGTTTACACTAACTGCCAGCAATGTCATTGACGATGTGTTACTTTGTACCCCCTTCTGCACCTCAAACATGGACTCAGTGTGATCACATCTCTATCAGCTGCACTGGCTTGATTGTGTACAAGAGTGCCGCTCCTTTTGGTATACTTACAAGATCTCTTGTCATTCCCTTGTTTGCACCAATTTTACTTTACGTTTTCATTGGTCAACAAATTCACCTTCCAAAACTGATCTATGTAAACGAATTGGTTGCAGCTTGTGTTGCAATTAAATGTCGAATTGAGCTAGGTTCAAATTTAGCTACCATCCCTCCATAAATTATATATGAGCACTGACTGCGATCGCATGACGTCATGAAAATGGCAATTAAAGTAGCTTGCTGCTTCGAGTAGCGCTCCACTTATAGGCAACGGTTTTCTTTATGCTCCTTACATTTCATTGAAACCTACCGGTCTACCCTGGATGGTCGAGAGTTTGACGATCTAGAAACATCTCTGGTGGATGTAAGTAACAGCGGTGTGGATCTGTTGCCTGTTGAAAGACTTCTAGACCCTGAGTATGCGGATGATATTGTCTTACTATGCGATAATGCCTATGGCATGCAATCCGCACTTAATCAGTCGGCAATCAGTGTTCGTAGGTATGGTATGTGCTTTGCACCTTCGAAGTGCAACGTACTTCTACAAGACTAGCAGGATTCTAATCCTGTACTCACCCTGAATTGTGAGCAAATAGAAGAAGTCGGGAAGTTCGTGTATCTAGGTAGCTGCATAAGTGCTGGTGGTGGCGTTAGTGATGAGATCAATGCACGTATACTGAAAGTCAGAGCAAATATGACAATCTGTGCCATCTTTGGCATTTTTGTGATGTTAGTCCAACTGTGAAGGGTTGGATTTACAACCCGTTGATGAGAGCAGTTTTTTATGCTTGTGAGACCTGACCTTCCTGAGTTGAAGATGCTAGACAACTTTGTGTTTGATCATCGCTGTCTCCGAAGGATTGCTGACATTGAGCGGCAACACCATGTTGGTAATGCAGAGGTTCGGCACTGTGTGTTCGGGCACAGCGATGATGATTCAATTAGTGCAACTATCTTGAAACATCAACTTAGTTGACTTGGACATGTTCTACGAATGTCGTCCAAGAGAATTCCACGTCGTGCATTATTTACCGACTCTGGGACTGGTTGGAAAAAGCAGAGAGGTGGTTCGTGTATAACGTGATGTTGTGGTATGAAGGAAAACTGTACAGGACTGGCTTATATTGGTCCTTCATGACTCTCTGGTTGAGGTTCTAGAGATGGTGCAACACAGTGTCTAGAGACGTTGCCAGATATGGCTCAGAATAGAAGCCAGTGACGACCCTACTCTAACTTTTTTTTTGCTTTCTTCACAAAAAACGAACGTACTGTCTTCAACTGGGGGAATTCTTTCTCGTTGTACTTTTACTAACTGAACTGCCTCTCCCATTATTATCACTATTGCAATGGAATAAAATGATTTCTGTTCGTTGTTGTTCTCCATTTCCTTATACATACTTTACATTCTTTATCTCTTCACATTCTTATTGCTATTGTTTATCGCACATGCATTTGGTGCTCCCTTGTACCAATGTCTATGTATTCAAATAAATATATAATAATCGATCCAGTTGAAGTAAATAAGAAAATTAATAACAGACTGTCTCTTTAGTCGTGCTCATCAGTGTAGATTAATGGTCTAGTTCGGTATTAGTACGTTTTTCTCTCCCTGGATGGAAGCCGGTTAAGAGTAGTGTGCCTTAAGGTATCATCTTAGGTCACCTATTTTCACTTAGTGTCAATGAATTACCAGGACTGCTTAAGTCGTCGATTGTTATTTTCTGTAGATGATATCAGAATCCGAAGAAAAATACTGATGGTGATCATCTTGTCTTCCAGGCTGACCTAAACGAATAAGCTGAATGGTTTGAAAGTCGAGACTCAGTAATCGTTTCTAGAAAGAGTGCTCATGCATACCGAACAAATGAGTAGTTACCAGTGTACTGGCAACGGTACATTGCTTTATGTGTGCGGGACCACAAAGACTTAAGGGTAACAATAAGTCATGAATTCAAAACAACAATGCATCGCAACACAGTAGATGCCAAGGGTTTTCGAGCGTTACGGTCACTTCACCTAGTATTCATATGCATTGACGAAGAGTTGTTTCGGGTTTAATAACCACAACTAGAGTTCGGTGTCCAAGTAAACTGATCCAAGTCATATTGCTGTTACTGACAAACATGAGAGTTCTCAATGTGCAGGAGCAAAGTTAGTGAAGAGTGGTCCCCAAATCTGTTTGATGGGCGCTCAATACACCTGAACGATCAGGGTCCCTTTCCTTTATCGTTCCACAGAATGTGAGGTGACTTTATATCGTCATCCCGTATGTTTAATATCGAATTTAATGCAAATATACCGCATCGTTTTGCTCCTTCCAGAACTAATGATATCCAAGCCCATAACAAGAAGGTTCGAAAACAACAATCTGATAAGCTCAGCGTGGGTTTCTCGCTTTCAACCGAGCGGTCAGTGTGTGATGGACCAGACGATACATAAACGCAAAAATATCATCAAAGTTAATAAAGATTAGTAGTAATGCTAATATATATATATATATATATAAGTTAATTATCACGAATACAAAAGAAAGTTGGGACTTTATTTAAGTTCATATTGATGCGTGTTCGACTTTGGTCTGGTTTTAAGAGACCATAATTATAAATGGTTGGTAATTCCAATCTGGTTGACGAACTCTCTAACAGTGTAATCCAGTGCAAGGTGTGGTATATTCCCACTCACAGTCTATATATGTGGGTGATATTTGACTCAGGTTACAATTAGATCAATCACAAACGAAAATAGAACAGGGGATATGTGTGTAGCAATGTATTTGTTAGCAAGCAACAATATGTCACGCTATGTAGTCACACAAGTGAAAGGTGTCTTCAAGGTACATCATTTAATGATAAATATGAATATAGTGAAAGATTGACAAAATAAATACAAATAACATTTAAAGCTATTCACAAAAAAGCTTGTTAGTCATATCTCTACAAGTGTCTTGAACTCCGTGCTCAAACAAGTCGTATCAGCCCCATCAGTAAATATTTTTTAGCATAAACTATTACATTCCTGGAAAAAAGCTGAAAGGATCAACACAAATCGATCGACTAAATATCCTTCTGATTGAGCTGGATTTGCGTTTTCTCGCGCGTGTTTCTAAGATTGGCGTTATATTAAATTGAGCATGCCGGTTAGCAATGTGGAAGTGCCTTCTCTGTGAGTATCTGGGTTTCTGGACATGAGTTTAACTTTATTCTAACTTCAGGAACCTATTTTTCGTTTTATGATTAATCAAATATATATTGTGTTATCCAGATAAAGTTCAGATTCAGATGCGTGTAAATAGATTAAATGGCCTTCGAACTGTCTTATCTTACTTAGTAAGCTTCTATGAGCGTTTAATCCTCTCCTGAAAAAGTCAATTGAAGGTGAGGGCACCACTGCTCCGGGTTATAAGTTCCAAGACTTGATGAGAATATGAAAACCTGAATGCTGCCGGTATTTTGGTCGTCCCTGGCTTTTCTACACTCCTATTATATCCTCTGAGATTCCCTGATCTGGTAGGAAAAAAGAGACGACGTGTTATGTCTAAAATCATTTTTATTGCTGTTTACGTCAAAATCAGACCACCTCTTAGTCTGCGGTAGTATATAGTAAAGTGGTCTAGATTCTCAAGCCTCTCATTGTATTTTAATCCCAAGAGTTCATGAATTGCACGGGCAGCTGCCCTCTGCACTTTTCCCAGGATATCCGAGTCACCTTTTAGACAGTAGCTTGCAGCTTAAACGTAGTTTTCAAGTTTGGATCTCAGTAAGGTTGTGTATACGGTAGAGAACATACTGGTGTCCAACTTGGTAAATGTCCGTCTTAAAACTTTTAGGGTGGTCTTAAGGTCACAGCTCATTGCCATCCTGGGATTCCTGTGAGACAGGACTACGGGTACTGGTTCTTCCCCTATGCCGTACCTACTTACCTTTGTATCCCAAAAGTGCATGTAGACACCTGCTTCAGTCTGGGCACCTGGGCAGTATCACAGCCCACACACAATCAAGTGACTTGCGTGATGCATATGTATTCAGTGCCTCTTTGTACTAATATTTGTGTTCAAATAAATAGATAATAGATATGTAGACACTTGGCGGCGTCGATAAGCATCAGGTATCTTTTAGATCAACTGGCCAGAACATCTTAGTCCACCCGAAATGCACATGGGTTTGCGTCTCCTGTTATTCCTCTCTAGAGTTGTACATCGTCAGCGTATAGTAGCATTGGGGACTGAACTATGCTTGGGACTTCATTTACATGCAGTAATAAAAGCTTAGATCCTAGGACGTCCTTGCGGTACTCTATCAAGTACTGGTTTCCAGGCGGAACACTTTGAATATCCCTTAATTTCCTTCTGCCACCTACCAAGAAACCTTTTAACCAATTTGGAAGAGGTCCGACAATACCTAGGTTTTCCAGCTTCAAATGTAATCTTTTAGCACCTTATCGAATACTTTGCTGAAGTCCATGTGGACAGCATCCATTGATTTTCCATTGTCTATACTCTTGATCCATAAGGGGATTTGTAATGTAAGATAGACCTTTTCTGAAACGATATCGTTCACTACTTAACAAGTTGTTGGTTTCCACTTATGTCATTATGGTCTTTTTGATTATTCTTTCCAGTATTTTAACTATGACACTAGTGAGACTGAGAGGTCTGTAGTTTGATGGAAGTTGTCTTGATCCTGTTTTATGTATTGGAATGACACTTGTATCCTACAGCCCCTAGTTAACTCACCTTGGTTAAGTGACATTGGGTATAATAGTCGGTGAGGCAGTAATGTATTGTGCGAATTGTCTTAAGATTTTAAGGTGTAGTTCGTCCGGTTCAGTTGAGTTTTTCGTGTCTGAAGTGCTAAGGGTCTTAAGTTCATCGTCTCAATCGAAGTACACACTGAGCAAACGATTTTTCGACTTTGTATTTGGGTCTAGTTCTTTGTCTAGAAGGGACTCCTAAGTGAAAACTGACCCGAAATAGTTTTCCATATCCTCTACTTTTCTCTGATCATCCTTCATCATATGAGATCCACTCCCGTAATTAGGTTGGGAATCCAGTGTTGGGTCCTTGTTCTGGAATTTATGTACGAGAATAGTTTCCTAGGTTGCTTGCTTACAGACGTCAACTTATGTTTATCTAGAGCTTTCGTCTACCATCGTCACCTCCAATTTATTTCGTAAGTTGTTTCATCCGTAACTCTGGATAGTCAGTCAGTCAGTAACAACATAGAACTTCGTACGTACGTACATCAGTTAGAGTTGCGACACCACATTATCACAGAGATGCATTGGTCGATTCAAATCACATAGTGAGAGTGTTAGTAAAAGTGTGGGCAGTATTCGGAAACATTAGGGTTTGAAGATGTTATTCACAGGGTACAATCCAGTGAAATAAATTTGGGAAGAGAAAAAAAAGAGAGACAAGGAGGAATAAGGAGATCAAAATTTGGGAGAACACAAAGAGTAAATGCACCTGCGCTATTGCAAACGGTTTTGAGCCATGTCTTTCAGAGTCTTTAACCATCGGTTGCTATTATCTCGCGGTCCCCAACCAAGTAGTCTACACCTACCGACATGACTCAGACCACTTGTTAGTGACTTCATGGACTTGTGTCATGTTTTGGTCTGACCGCCCCTAGCTTTCTTCCAATCTACTCCTATACCACTGAACATCGCACGTCGAGGCAGTCGGTTGTTAGGCATACGTAACACGTGTCCCAGCCATCTCAACTGATGAGGTTTCACTACGTCATCAATTGATTTGCTATCCTTACCTAGTACCCGTTTTCTAACAACTGTGTTACTTACTCGATGGTCCCAGGATATACGAGCAATATTTCGAAGACACCTATGATCAAATACTAGTAACCCATGGATATTCTCTACTCTTACCGGCCACGTTTCACTGCCATAAAGTGGGACGGGACGAACTGCTGCGCAGTAAACCCGTCCTTTGGTTGATAGACGGATATCTCGCCTACGCCATAAATGACGCAAGTTGGTAAAAGCTAGTCGAGCCTTCTGTATCTGTGCTGAGATTTCATCACACACCAGACCACAAAGGCTGATGAGACTTCCAAGATAAGTGGAGCGGTCGACACGCTCAACTACTTCATTCCCTATCATTAGTTCGGGTGTCAATGCAACCCAACCCTGAGGCAACATTTTGCATTTCGAGGGTGAGAATCGCATCCCAAACATGCTTGCATTGTTGCTTGGAGTGGTCAGAAGACTGCATTTTGTCAGCGTCTTCACGAAATAGAACTATGTCATCAGCATATTCTAAGTCAACAAGTGAACCTCCCGGTAGAAGTTAAACCCCTGTAAATTTAGATGAGGAAAGTGTTATCTCTAAAAGTACGTCGACGACAAAGTTGAACAAGAATGGAGAGAGTGGACAGCCCTGACGAACACCACTTAAGGTAATCAATTCTGATGACAGTTCGCCATAAGCTCTCACTCTACCAGTTGTGTTGGAGTAGAGAGCCTTTATAAGGTTAATGTACTCCATTGGTATTCCTTTCAGTGACAAACACTGCCATAGAATCTTACGATCAACAGAGTCGAATGCCGCCTTAAGGTCGAGAAGTACTACGAATGTGGGGCGTCATTCAGGTTGAATGGAGATCGTGGGAAACCGAAGTGTGGCTGAAGGCCAGTTGAACTGATCCCTAAAGTGTTCTGCCCATCGATCCAATCTCCTGGATTGAGAATGAATAATATGTCCATCTTTCTCTGAGATTGTTTCGCTAACAGTCGGGTTCCTAATTCCGGTTTCCTTAACGAGTCTAAACAATTGTCTGCTATTACCTATTGCCGTTGCCTTTTCCATCTCTCTTGCTTTCGCTACCCACCACTGTTCACGATCATTGCGTAGACTTCTTGTCAGCTTGCACTTAAGCTGACTCCGCTCTCCATTATGTTCAGAGCCAGGTGGAATGGGTTTCCGAGCATCTATCAGTGCGATAGATGCTGCTGAGATCCAGTGTTGCTCCCTAACCTTGTGGTTTACCTTACTAACAGATATCACTGCTGTTTCTACAGTTTTTCGAATATCATTCCATGCTGCCTCAGGGTGAGCATCATATACATGGCTGCCTAACTGTTTTTCTAGTTGTTCCTGAAATATACTCTTAGCTTGACTATCATTAAATAGGGCCTTAAGAGGTTTCCTTGCGGCGTCTTTCCTATGTCCAGTAAGACGCAGACAGATACGCCCTCGGACTAGAGCATGATCTGAATTTAAGCATGTGCTCCAGAATGAGCGACAGTCTTCTATCGAGCCCCTTCATCGGTGGCTGATAGCGATGTGATATATTTGGGTCCAACGTTGGGACGAATTAGGGGGTCGCCATGTTAAAAGATGTTTTTCCTTATGCTTAAAGTTAGTATTTGCAAGGAACAGGCGGTTATCTAAGCATAGCTGCAACAGACGGTCGCCATTATCTGTTCTTTGAGCCACGATGCTATAAGATTCACCCAGGTGTCTTTCCCTATCGCTTAGTTTACTTGAGCATTAAAGTCACCGGCCACTGTTACTACATCCGAGCGCCTAGCTTTTAGGAGGAGGTCGGAGAGCTGTCTGTAAAACTCATCTTTCACATCATCTGCGCTGCAGTCAGTGGGAGAATAGGCAGAGACGATGAAGAGGCAACGACGAGTGTCCCTATCTTTCCGGATCCTTACTGTTCCGTTCAGTCGAACAGCGCACTCTAAGAGAGCTATTTCTGCCCTAGGACTCAATGCTATACCTACACCTCAGAGGCTACGGGAAGCAGAATCAGGGCTTCCAGATACACAAAGTGTAAATCAAGTGGGTTCTTTATTTTGGCATGATGAGGTCAAGTGAATGACGCTACTCGAATCCTGTATGCGCGTTTCGGAGACGCAGCACACATCGATGGCGCGGGATTTTAAAGTTTTAGCTAAGGGAGCCTGCTCTCCTATTTGGCACAGGGTTCGGACGTTAAAAGCTCCTACGTGTAGTTTAGAGCGTGGTTTCATGAGACCAGGAATAGCGTTTCGCGTACTCGAATCGTTTGCCCTAGCGGTGCGAGGTGATAAAGAGACGTGAGGAGGGTTAGTCATGGAGATAAGAGAGGTATTAGGAGATTTAGGAAGGATTTGAATGTGACCAACTTGGTCTCGTGTGCTGTTACGGGTATGAGGGCTGATGTCACTTCCCGGCTGCCCACACCGTGGGAGGGTATTTCTTGAGGAACCTGAAAAGGAAATTGGATTATTGTTGGTCTTGACGACCTGGGAGCGTGACCGCAGAGCCCAAGGGACAACTGCTTGAGGCCGGTCGCGCACGGCCTTTTTGTGACAGGTTTTTAATGTGTTAGCTCCGTTCTTCTAAGAGCCTTACCACCGGAGACGGAAATCCGTGAGGTAAGGTGAGGTGTGCATATTTAGGGTCGACCTTTTCTAACCCCACCCCTCCTTGTGGGAAGGCAGCATCGCTGTCATGCTGGTTGTCTGAGGGAAACACCTTACTGCTGTCACACCTCTCTACAGTCAGCAGTACGACTTCGCCCTCAGACCTTGAGTTGCTTCTTTTAGTCCTACCGTTCTCCAATCCACCAGCCTGGTATGGTAGAACCTACAGGAACATATGTTCCAGCCAATATAGCTCGTTTGGGTCATCACGATAGGCAAGCCCGACCACCGCGTCAAGGTAGCAGCTTCAATTGGGACTCAATGGATAAGCTGTAAGAGATCATGCTTAAACGTATTATTGTCCATTACTTTCAATTAACAATCTTGGATTCTGACTATGTTATGGGAATCTCGTATTTTGTAAGCCAACAAGTGTCCTGAAGTGATTCAACCAACCTAATGTCACGTTATAGAAGTAAACTCAAAGTCATTCGTTGAACAGTGTAAAATTTATGATCATAGCATTTGCTTGCAGAATACTGCAAGAGTTTTACACACAGTCAATCGGAACTTATAACAAATTTCGGATTATAAGCAATTATTTTTTCTCAGTCGTATGAAGCTTGTTTGTCCGATTCTTTCGGTTGATGAATAAACTGAGGTTCTACGATCTTATTCTCACATCATTTTCACACAAAAAATGCAAGAGCTAGCAAACCCACTTAGTCAATCAGTTACAATATAGGACCAGGCACATATATGTATCATCCCAAGTTGCCAAAGCTCATTAGCATAACAAAGTAAAGACCAAATTCATAGTAGTTACTTCGATCGTAGTAATACATGGAAGAAAGATTGTGTATAAAGATATACAGGAAGGAAGAATTAGTTCGTAAAAACAAAGGTATAAGGCGGTTTTACCCTCACCGTCTAAGGGAAGATAAAGAGTGTATACACTGACGTCACTGTGATCAATTCCGAGCCATTTCACCCAGTGTCTCCGACCATTAGTTACAACAGTCACATGGACCTCAACTAAGTAGTCTGCATTTACCAACATAGCTCAAACCAGAAGTTAGTGACTTCGGTGACTGATGCCACATTTTGCTTTGACCCCCCCTCTAACTTTCTTCTAACCATCTCCAACACTTGTCAACATTGCGTGTCGTGGTAATCGGTGTTCAGGCATACGTAACACGTTGCCTAACCGTCTTAGTCGATGAAGTCTGACAACCTCATCAACTGATTTACCATCACTCCCTAATACCCTGTATCTAACCTCATTATTGCTTACCCGGTGATGCCAGCATATTCTGGCAATATTTCTGTGATCAAATACTAGATTTTCTGTTTCATCTCAGTCATCATTAGGGACAGTATTGACTTTGACTAGTCAGCTAATCAAATTATTTTTTCGGAAATTCCGGGAGCTTTGTGAGGCGGTTGGACCAACCCAATGCACCAGTAACCTCTATCGTTGTCTCATGTTCTCCTTGATCTGTGAATCCAAAACGCCTGGTGAAATGGTCATTTTGTAACAATTCTTAAAGCACTAAAGCTCTATAACCGATTTTGTTGGTCGAATGAACACTGATAGCAATAGTGATAAAACACAATAATAATGTTATATGCAGTTGGTTTCTGTCTGGTAAATATCTTTGACAAATATTTCCGTTTTACTATGAATAGTAAGCTGTGGTACAAGCTTTTGTCTGTCTTGCGAATACGAATCAAACCAGGATAATACGAAGCCCACATTTTTTATTTACAGACTTCATTTATCAATTACTTAATTAAATGCTTTTGATGTAAGAGGATCTTGGTTCAAATATTTTCGAGACTCATGTACTTTATTTTTATAGACAGCCAGTGCGTGATCCTGTACTGTTTCCCTTGGGATTAAAAGAAGAGGCAAAAATGTTACTAGGTTCCGAAGACATTACAATACACGCAAAGGATTTACGGAAGTTAGCTCATCTAGGTGATTATTGTGCCTTTGTTTCTACTGTTTTGATTTCTGATTAATTCCATATTTTCTAATGATATGTATTTTTTTCGTGCGATTGAATATTATTTATAGCTGCAATTACGTTATCTGAATCTGAAAGCAACATATTGAGGTGGCATTTCCATTTTTTTCAGTTTCTAGTGGTTTTAAACTCAACATTGTCACATAAACTTAATGTATCGTAAACCGAAATAATGGTCATGTTTACATTCATGTAGTATTAACAGCTGGAAGTAAATTCCGCGTTGTTTTAGTTTATTTAGTCACTGAATTGTAGATATTTCGAGAAAAATTATATTATAGAATTACGTGGAAGCACGTCCACTATGTTGTGATTTTCCTTCCGTTAAAACTGACTGCCGTTCACTTGACACTAGCATAACAGAGTAGTATCTTCATCGTAGAAAATTTTTACATATATCATATAAGCCAGCAAAACAGACAAGCACCAAAATACGCCTTACATCATGGATTACGACAATGAAAACAATAATTCTTGCTCCATTTTACTTGATCTCCTGGTTCAGGATTAGAATAGTGAAAATGGAGTTTATTGCCACTCATTTTCCCATGGTTTTTCACATGATCATGTTTGTTTCGGATATAGATTTGAATCAGGTTCCAACTTAAGTTTACATTTTGGAATTGTTCAGATGTGTTACGTTTGATTTCTTTTTTGTATTAATCGGAGTTGTTTGGTTTTCGACCTTGATTTTTCATCTGAAACTTAAACTTGGAATCATTAGTACGTTTATTTATCTATTTATTTGAACATATAAATATTGGTACGAGTGGGCACCAAATTTATATGCGCCACACGAAACAATGAGAATTCGAAGAAAAAAAGAACAATAACGAACATATTAGTGTAAGGTTGTGTAATAATAATAGTAATAATAATAATAATAATAATAATAATGGGGGAAATTGTAAAGGTACAATCAGAAGAAGTCTTTCAGTTAAGGGAGTGTTATAATCTCATTCTTACGGTATGACCCAGCTATTCATATTGCTTAGTATTCTTGGACACCAAATCACTCGACAAGTCCCCAAATCAGAACACAGTTGAACAGGAAAAAGATTATATTCGAAATAACAAGGTTAGATGGAAGCAAGAAGCAAGTAAGTAGTGCAATAGGGAAAACGCTAGTGTATTTATAGTTTTTCACATGAGATTTCTAGTGTTCACTAAGTATTGGCTAACGCTGATTGGATAAGAATTAGCTAATCAGCGTGCACCAAAGCAATCGTGCATTGAGCATGCTTTGATCCAGTCTATGTCTCGCTAACAGGGAGAAACAACCATTTTTTATGAAGAAAGTAAAAGAAGGTTACAGCAAGATCGCCAATGGCTTCTATTCTGAGCCATATCTGGCAACGTCTCTAGACACTGTGTTGCACCATCTCTAGAACCTCAACCAGAGAGTCATGAAGGACCAATATAAGCCAGTCCTGTACAGTTTTCCTTCATACCACAACATCACGTTATACACGAACCACCTCTCTGCTTTTTCCAACCAGTCCCAGAGTCGGTAAATAATGCACGACGTGGAATTCTCTTGGACGACATTCGTAGAACATGTCCAAGTCAACTAAGTTGATGTTTCAAGATAGTTGCACTAATTGAATCATCATCGCTGTGCCCGAACACACAGTGCCGAACCTCTGCATTACCAACATGGTGTTGCCGCTCAATGTCAGCAATCCTTCGGAGACAGCGATGATCAAACACAAAGTTGTCTAGCATCTTCAACTCAGGAAGGTCAGGTCTCACAAGCATAAAAAACTGCTCTCATCAACGGGTTGTAAATCCAACCCTTCACAGTTGGACTAACATCACAAAAATGCCAAAGATGGCACAGATTGTCATATTTGCCCTGACTTTCAGTATACGTGCATTGATCTCATCACTAACGCCACCACCAGCACTTATGCAGCTACCTAGATACACGAACTTCCCGACTTCTTCTATTTGCTCACAATTCAGGGTGAGTACAGGATTAGAATCCTGCTAGTCTTGTAGAAGTACGTTGCACTTCGAAGGTGCAAAGCACATACCATACCTACGAACACTGATTGCCGACTGATTAAGTGCGGATTGCATGCCATGGGCATTATCGCATAGTAAGACAATATCATCCGCATACTCAGGGTCTAGAAAACTTTCAACAGGCAACAGATCCACACCGCTGTTACTTACATCCATCAGAGCTGTTTCCAGAATGTCATCGATGGCAAAGTTGAAGAGGAATGGTGAGATTGGGCAACTCTGTTTAACCCCACTGCTTGAATGGAACAATGGAGAAAGGTGGTTGTATGCCCTCACTCTACCTGAGGTGTTTGTATATAGGGCCTTTAAAATGTTAATAAACTTCTCAAACACACTCTTCAATAGAAAATCCCAGAGAACAGTCCTGTCCAATGAATCGAAGGCAGCCCTGATGTCAAGAAACATTACGATTGTTGGCCTTTGATAAGTATGACGGTGTTCTAACATTTGGCGGAGGGTGAAGATATGATCAATACATCCTCGACCAGAACGAAGCCCGGCCTGCTCCTCGCGAGTCAATCTTTCTCGCGTTTTGAACAACCTACGAAGTATGACGGAAGCCAATAGCTTGGACGCAATCGGAAGTAGACTTATCCCCCGATAGTTGTTACAGAAACGATATGAACCCTTTTTAAATATAGGGACAACTATCGACTCATTCCATGACGTTGGTACACTCTCTAGCTCCCAGACTTTTGTAAACAACGTCGTCAGTTCCTTAGTCAGAAAGTCACCACCATCTTTATAAAGATCCGGAGGTAAGTCATCTGGCCAGGTGATTTGCAGCGCTTCAAGAGTTGGAGTTTCTTGCGGACTTCCGCCTCATTTAGCGGATCAGTCGTCACCGGCCATGGAGGGCAGGACAGTGTGACCGATGTTGCCGGGGCAGCAGGCCAGTTGGACTGCTCTTCGAAAAATTCTACCCATCGTCCAAGACGTCGATGGATGTTAGTGATTGGCATTCCGTCATCCTCACAGATTGTTTCGCTCACACCAGACATCTTGCTGCCAGTGGATCCTCATTAGCTTTAGTATTTCCGACCTTTTAAGATGTTGACATTTTCTTACTCTTAACATGTCCATACGGTTCATATTAATTATTGTGACAATGTTTTCGCATTAAATCATAAGTCAAGACGGTCTCTTGAAATTCATTTGTATCCTTTCTGTTCTTAAGGTGAGCGTATGCGGTATAATGTTTTGTCCATATTCAAAGCACGCTCAATAGTGCACAAGGGCTTTAGGTTCCTGAGGGAAAAAATAGCATGTGAACCAATTATTGGTCACCGGCTACCATGGCATTGCATCTCTTGACGCTGCTTCATTGACTTGTGGATGAGACCTTTAGATCGGAGGCTCCGGGTGTGGCCACGTAAGAAAACCATCTGCTTCGGTCTGGGCACCCGGGCAGTATCGCAGCTCACTCGCAACTCAAGTGACTTGTGTGGCGCATATGTACTCGGTGCTCCTTTGTACCAATATTTTTGTGTTCAAATAAATCTAGGATTAAGTTTTGTAAATCTTGTCTTGTTGATTGCCTTGCAACTGGTTTCTGTAAATGTCCTCATAGTAGCACAAACTTTAATTTTTCCTATTATCAACTTATTTTACTTTACCAACGTACTTGCCACTTAGCTCATCGGGTTTGTTTTTCTTTCCTAACGGTTAGGAGTTACGGATTTCTGAATCAGTCTCTGAATGTTAATAATGATTTTGCGTGTCTTCTAAAATTCACACTTTCCTATCACTTAGTGTGTTTTTCTAGGTTATTTATTCGTATGATTCGAACTATCGATCATACCATGTATACTGCTTAAAGTCGTAGTGTTAAACTAATGTAAAAATAGAACAGTTCACTTTATTCACTATTTCAGTAAATAAAATTCACCATACAACTTAATAGAATTTCAACACTTATTTATTTTTATTCGGGATGAGCCTTTCTGTAACTTATGTTTCACTTTCGTAACATACGTATTTCGGCTACGTTGAAGGAGTTCTGTTGCATGAAAGCCGATTTCAATACACTGCTGATGAGCTATTATTCAAAAATCATGAGTCGATTTATTTACTGAAGATTTACGTATTCATATCAACTTGAGAAGTGGCGTATGACACATTCTGGTTAAATCGCTGCTACTGCCAAAAATTATTTCCTTTAACTCAGTTAGTTGTGAATGCAGTCCTGTTATCTTAATGATGTTATCCAATATATGCTGAATTCACTAGTCTGTTAAAACATCTGTTTTACATAATTTCATTACTCTACATGTAATTCATCCAACAGATGATACACGATTATTTGTCCCTCACTGTTGTTGAATAGACCTAATATGTTTTTTTTGAGTTTATTTATCGAAATTTAAAATATTACCACATCCAGATATAGTTATTGATATGGCTTAACAATAGCTGTATTCTCAGCGGATAATTTATATTAATTAATGGAAGTACTTAATGTTTGTCTAATGTATTCATTCTTCAACCTGAATTTGCTTGAATTTTCAGTAGTGATTTAACCTCTATTCTTTAGGATCTGGATATTATGGAAGAGTAGAAAAAATGATCCATACACCCACGTCACACGTTTTCGCTGTCAAACACATTTCCGTCCATCTGAATTACCTCTCAAGACCTCTTATTTCTCGAGAATTGGCTGTTGGTACACGTTGTAATCACCGATCTGTGGTTACTTGTTACTGTGGTCTGTTTTGTGAAGGTGATGTTCTTATTGTTATGGAGTTAATGGATACATCTTTGGACAAATTATTAAAGAAAGTGAGTTGTTTCGAGATGGGTGTAACATTTTATATGACTTTGTTATATCACTTTACGTTATTACTAAATTAAGACACATTTCAGGTTTCGAATTTCGTGTTTATTTTCATTTGAATTCACTTTTTGTGTACACCATACATCGTATTAGTAACATTTAAATTCTAAGCACTTTAGGAAGTTTCTCCAACAATTTGAGAGCGTTTTAGTACCAGTTTGCAAGCTGCGTTAATGGTATGGACAGACATAAGTAATGTGTAGCAGGAATTGGAAGTGGAATGCGTACCAGAAGATTGAAATTAAGTGAAGGAAAGCAAGACGGTTGGAATAACAACAGGATTTGAAGAATAATGAAGGAAGTAAAGGGCAACTCAAGGAAGATACGCAAATCATGTATTTAATGTATGATTACCATATTTTACAAAGGAACTGTTTGATTTTGCATAAAACAATAAATTGGTTTACCGTACCTACGTTTTCGTTCACTACATGTCTAACGTATTCGTTATAGCAAATCTGCCTCATCCAACTGAAAAATCACATCATACTGTCGATGAGTGATGAAATAACAGTATGTGTAAAAGTTTACTTGTCTAATGGTTAGAATATATGTTACATTCGTCCATCTAATGTTAATTTTCTATTCAAACTATGGTAAAGTTGGGCTAAAAATAGATTATGAGTGGTCGAATCAAAACATAATGTCAATTTATCAAGGCAATTGACTTTTTTCCATGTAGGCACTTGCTAACTTCCTGACTAAAGCTTTACAGACAACCAAACTAGTAATAGACTTCGAGGTACATATCTCAATATGTGTTGTTTTGATACACATACATGCGCACTTTACTTTATCCAAGTACACGTTGTTTGTCTCTAGTTCTTTGCCACTGATAGCATGGTTGTTTTCGTCCCTTTTCTTTCCTCGTTTTATCAATTTCTTATCACACTAGTTATGTGATGTATAACAGCTTGGATAAGTATATTCTAAAATTTTAGTATAATTTTTTCTATCTGTTATTTTAAGATCAACAGTTAGTGCAATTTATCAAGTATTCATTGATTTGTGTACAGAGCATGAGTTTTACACTTATTTATTTTATTTATTTATTTAATCACATAAACATTGGTACAAGGAGGCGCCACATAAATCATTCGATTTGTGTGAGGGCTATGATACTGCCCGGGTGCCCAAACCGAAGCAGGTGGTTTTTTAGGCAAGGCAATGGAGCATCGTAAGGCGATGCAATCCCATGGAAGCCGATGACCAACGATTGGTTCATACGCCGTTTGTTCCCTCAGGATACTGGAGCCTATGTGCACCATTGATTTGGAATCCGGGTAAAGCGCTGGTCATTCGCATTTCGTCCTCTCAATTTCGTAAACAACACCCGTGGTACGAGAAGGCAGTGAGTAGGACTTCCCTGGCAGAGGCTGTATACGCGTGGCTATGTGAGAGCATTTCGAGAGGGAGGGCGAGCTCACCGCACTCTCGGCCGTACCAGGGCATTTGGGGGCACACTAATGGTTTATCGACCAACTCAAATGAAAATGGAGTTCACGTCTTGCAGTTCATTATTAAGGCTGTATAGTCAGGATCCTATTCTGTTATCTTTAATAAATATATTGTTTGGGAAGCTTATTTTTGAATCTTTATGAAGTATCAGTGATTGCTGGTAGAAGTAAAACCAAGATAATGTGCTTTCACAAAAGTTACCTTTCAGTGTGTATTCACTTTATGTTACTAAATTACAGGAATATGCCACCTCTTTTGGTCGAAGTGAGTTTGTCAAACAATAATTATAAGGTGTTTTAACATTCGTTTCTTCATTAAAGTAGATAAAGTACGGCATTTTTATGTTTTTCAAATATTTTTCACTACATGCTATAATGTTGGGTTATAAGTAGATGTATTCACTTTCCGTTTCCATGATTACTCTTCATAGGTTTACAACCGTGGTCGTATTTTTCCCACTGACGTCCTAGCGTACATTGTATTATCGGTTGTTGAGGCCCTTGAATATCTACATCAACTTGAAGTTATACATCGTGATGTAAAACCTTCAAACATGCTTGCAGATTGTCATGGCCGAGTAAAGGTAAGACAAAAAATTTGCATTAGCTATTATCTTTAATTATGTATTGTATTTTCTTATTAAATAAATTGTTTGTGATACAGGAATATTTTCAACCTAAAGTTCAATTACTGCATAACTTTTTAACTCTTTTTGTTTCCGTTTTATAAATAAGGTTTGTGATTTTGGAATATCAGCCGATTTAGAAAATTCAATCGCATTAACCAACATAGGGACAAGAGCTTATTTAGCTCCAGAGCGAATTAATACACGAGAGAACGAAGGGTTTTGTATTCGTTCAGATGTATGGTCACTTGGTCTGAGTGTACTTGAATTAGCAACTGGAAAACCTTGCTATCCTCAATCGCAAAATGTATTTCAGCAATTGGTCCAGGTAACTATTTTTTAAAATGTCTCTATAATTCTGTAATCATCCTTTACTCAAATTACGTCATATCAAATCCACTGATGCAAAACTGAACAGTCCAATCTTATCTAACTTTCATAAACCTTTCTTTATCGATTAGCATACATTCCATTCGTATTTGGAAGTTTATTTTATTACGAATAATTACATTCGTAGAACAATCCCTATCCCGTTTATTAATGAACGTGATGGCGATTCGGGGCTTTTAATTAGGCGTTTCATCTGAACATGTATATTACTAACCAATTGCCATTTATTCCAGTGGTTTACTAGTTAGTAGTAAAACTTAAAACTCTGGCAGAAACGTTTTCTTCAATTGCTTATTTTATGCAATTCATTGTGATAAAATACTTAGAAATCTAAATACTACCATATTAGTGTGATAACCAAAGGCGTTAACAACTTTCCAACTTATTATAAGCTATCACATTCAGTTTGTATTATTTTAAAATATGATGATTTTCATATTCTTTTACCTGACGAATTATGTACGAATTAAGTACAAGTTTGTGGGATCTAGCGCAAATGTACTCCGGCCGAAGTAGCTTGGAAAACATAAATGATCCAATACATATAACCTTATCCCATTCATCTTTGGCGTTTTTGTCAAAGTTAGGCTATACGTAACCTACAATAATTATTTGATTGTCGTTTGGACATCTTAACGAAGTTTTTTTGACGACATTTTTGTCTACCACTAAATAAGTGAATTAGTCAACCTATTCAACCATTTCATTTTAGCTGTTCAAAAGTGCCGTAGTAAACTCACCATTCAACATCATCTTACGATTGAGATGTGAACCGTCCTCAATTTCTCCTTCATTGTGTTCAGATTTTCTTGTTTGTTGTCAAATGTTTTAATAAATGCTACGTTACAATCCACATTCAGAATAAATGATCTAAAAAATTCCTATTGACCTGTGACATTTTCGAGGTCCACGAAAAAAATATTAGGGACTTTTTTCACATAATAGTCAAATAACAACAAAGGAAGCTAGTAGAATGAATGGTTGCTTTGGTTAAAAGATGATAGATCATTTCATAAGTTTTCACTGAAAATTTCAGTAGTATAGACACAAGTACATGACTTATCGTTTACGATTTATAGAAATATGTGATCGCCAATCCAATGAAAGCTTCACCGCGCTCTTATCAGTAGGATCTAAAAACGATTCTCACAATGTTATATCATACCAGAGTAAGCACTAAGATGTATAACGTATCTTAAAACTCTTAATTGGCTTAAACAATTCTGTAAGTTGGATTTATAAAAGATTAATTGAAATATCAAAAACTAAATCAATAAGTTATTTCTGTGTATATTCATTTAAATTTGTCAATCGTATGATTACCAAAAAAAATATAATCTAATTGATGTGATTCTACTTTAAGGTTGTTCACGAACCATCTCCACAATTGCCAGAATCAAGTTGTTATCCGAATTCGCTACGTAAATTCATTGATTCATGTCTTATGAAGAACAAGGATGATAGACCGAACTATGTTCAACTACTGGAGTCAGAATTCTTATCAACTGTTGACGCTAAAAGTGGTCAAGAATCATTTAGACTATTTTTAGCAGATTATCTTGATGATAATGAAAAATGTTAATAATTCATTATAATATCCGTTGTTATTATTGATAATGATGTTAACTTACTTAAAAAGTAAGTACATGTATAAATTTTCGCAATCACATCATTAACATTAGGTTATATGTAGGAGGAATTACGTTTTCTCTGCCTGCTTTCATTAACAAAAGTTGTTTACTAACCTATATGTGATACATTCCGGTTTTTTTTTAATTTCCAAATTTTAAAAGATTTCTTTGCTCCTTATTTGTCTATCAGTGATGATTACAAACTAATCTTTTGGCCAGCCTTGTTGTTATTGCTTTTATCTTGCCAGCATATATATATAATTCTCATATATGTATATAATTTCTTCTGTCACTGTTCTCGTTTAACATTAAAATATCAATGGTAATTACATCTAACATGTGGTATTGTCGTTTTATTTTACTTTTAATTTTGTCTTCCCAATTTCGTCTGTCCTTATAAATAATTGGTTCGATCACTACTAGTCAGCAATAATAAACAGATGAAGAAGACTTTTTTATATAGCCATTTTCACAGTAGTGGGATTTTCTGAAATTTATTTTATTATAGTGATTTATGCTTTTCTATTAACGAAATATTAGTCATGACCATTAAATGCAATCATTTCCGTTAATACACTGTTAGTTACAATTTTTTACAATAATAGTATTTGTTGAATTCATTAAGAAACTTTGTTCGTTATATTATTATTATTACACAGCTGGTAAATAGAGAGCTAAGTTGTATGATATTGAAATAGAAATTCGCCTCATTTTAATTCTGCCCATAAATTTAAGGTGACATATCAATCACTTGTTTTCGTCCACAACAAATACTAAGTTATCATTGAACCCCATATTTATCAACAATTATATATTAGATTGCAGTGCTATAACATTACGAGCAAGGATGGATGTTGGCTAGTAGTGGGATCCAGGACGCACGTTTCGTTTCACTCAGCTACTGAGTCTATATAGTTGAGTGGATAAGACGATGGCGTTTTGGGCGAACGGTACCGGGTTCGAGTCCCGGAGTTAACACCAACTCAAATGCAAGTACATCCGGCTGACGAGTCCCAAATAGGACGAGACGCGCGTCCTTGACTCCACTACTAGCCAACATCTACCCTTGCTTACAATGTGATATCGAGGCTATCCGCACTGGATGTCAGTAAGAGGCTGATCAATTTGTTTATTTGAACGCATAAACGTTGGTCCAAGGGGGGCACTACATACATATATACCACATTAACAATGAGACTAGTAGCGGTCATCATTGATTTGTGTGAGGGTTGTGAAACTGTCCGAGTGTCTAAACTGAAGTTGGTTTTCTTAGGGGTCTCACCCCGAGCCTTTGACCTAGAGGTATATTTTACAACTCAATGGAGCACCATTAGGAGGTGCAGCCACATAATAGCCGGTGACCAACAATATGTTCATATGCCCAAGGTCCTGGAGCCCATGTACGCCATTGCTTCGGATTCAGGGTTTTTCAACTCTACTTGTTGGGTCCTCTATTTCCACCAACCTGGTTAGAGCGCTGGACATTCTCTTTTCGTCCTCTCAATTTCGTAAACAACACCACCACCGCGAAACCGATCAATTCCAGTCCTAAGCATCAGTGTGAGTATTCAAACAAATGATACACAAAAGAATTAGTACTTGAAAACACTGATATTACTTTATTTATAATTCTTTCACAAATACTTTGATAACAATTTTTTAATAAAAAAGCAAGTACATCTGAAAAAGTTATTTGTTGTTGTAACCATTCTTCATATCAATTACCAAATGACCAACTATTTTTATGTAATAAACTAATAAGATCATCACATTCCACTTCGTTGATTTATCTTTACTAGCTCAGACTGAAATCTATTTTTTGTATTAGCGACTAACTTTTTTTCACGAAATATTGTTGTAGATATTATGATGTACATATGTGTTTCATTATTTCACTGAAAGTTCTGTAATGTGAATATAATAGAAGAGACGATGAATTTTAACGTCTAATATATTTGAGAATATATATCGTTCATAAATAACAAGTTGACATACGATTAAGTTGTGCAAGTTTACTATTTCCATTAAGAAATTCTATATATTTCAATGTTTCAGTCTCTACGTATTTGATTCTAATTAAGTAAATCACGAGAATAAGACTGAATTCATTCATCACAAAATAAAGTTCTGTTAGTTTTTATTTTCCTCCTAAATAGAAAATGTTTTGAGGTGTAAACATACACGATAATTGTAATCAATTATTTGAGACTCAACTTATTATGGATGGAAAGCAGTTGTATTCATTTCTTCCTTTTGGGTATTGATCTTACTTCATACTTTTCATTTTTTGGGATATCAATGCCAAGATTTTACGCGATAGCTTCAAATAAATTGAACATCAATCAAAAGTTAATTATGAATAGATTTTTGTGATATCTCATTGAGTAAAAATACAATTTTGTATTGATTAGGAAATCACGAAAACATTTATTATTTCTATTCCTTATTTTCGAGATGTATCTGTTTGTTCCTTCAGTCAGTCACCTGTAGTGAAGTTTTAAGTAAAAGGCATGCATTCTCATCTAAATGTTTAGCGAATTCATTCAAGTTGGTGTTCTGTGTCGTTTTAAGTAATTGAGGATTTAAACATTTGCTTTTTATAAAATGCTTTCAATTTCCATCAATATTTATACTTAACTACTTTGCTTCCCTCTAATAAAAATACAGAAATAAGTTGGCCCAGTGTTCCTAATACCATCAATCCATTCATTCTTCATATTATTATGTTCACATATATAGAGATTCATTTCGGTAGTGTTTTCGTAATAAAACACTGAACGAAAACTACTAATATCGATCGACTTGGTTTTGCTGTAGCATCTCCTTTTTGTAAGTGACGAAGATAAAAAAGAAATCTTTTGGCTGACTACATTTAGTTGTTCGGTCATTTTATTAATAAAACTTGAACTGTGGTCTATGAAATATTTCATCTCCTAGATTGTAGAGTATCACTGATGCCCAATCTAAATTTCTTCCTAGGTAAGACGTCTTTCGGTTAGCTGTATTCCATAGTGTGAGTGATCACTCGTCGGCATATAACAAGACCGATACTGACACAACTGGAAAGTTTCACAGACACACTGGTCTTAATTTTGTATCCCGAAGGATTCTGAACAGTGCTTTTCAAGACAGTTTAGCCAATACTTTCATGTTGAGTCAAGGTGGGAAGTAGTCTATCCATAGTGGTTAATCCACTATTCCCTCAGTTAAGTCTTACATTACTAATATTTCTGTTACTTGTGTAGTTTACAATCTTATCCGAAGTATAGAATGAGTTCACTCCCTAGTGATAATGATCACAGATGACTGTATAAAGAAACAGCAGCGTGTGTTGTAATCTTCATTTTTCTACGAGCTTTCATAATGTAGGGGTGAAGTGTCTTATTTAGATTTGCTGTTCAGCGCCATTCGCCGACTTTAGGAAGACTAAAGATGAATGTCAAGCGACAACTATTTGAAGTGAAAATAAGTAAAAAGTAATAGGCCTCGTGAAACTGCGTATAGTACTGGTTGTCTGCTTAGTCAGTCATGTAGATTGTCTGACAGGTGAGTTACATATTCCCTTATCCTCATTACTATTAGGACTCACTTATTATTGATATTTCATTGTTGTTGCGTTGTGTCCGGTTTTTGGTGTAGAAATATATTTACGTTGTGGTCAAGCTAATCACGTGTTCTTGATCTGAGTTGTTTTGAAGTCCTGTAGAATAGACACTGGGAGTAAATCTACTGTAGATATTTGTCTAAGGTAAATTAACGTACAATACGTGGGAACCCAATCCTTATAACATTAGACGAAGTAAAACTGAGCGTTATAAAATTGGAGATGGGGTTAAAAACAAAGAACCAAGGGCATAAAACTACAAGCTATAACAATTTTTCTCATCGCGTGTCCAAAAACGTTTGTGCCTGAACATTTGATTGTGGACGGTGATGCGTGAGCAAAAATGCTTGAAGGTAAGCCGTCAGCAGAATACTTGGAACTGGCCGAAAGCGAAATGCGGACCGTTATACGACACGTTTGCACTAGAAAAATTTTCAGCCTGGTGCTGTAGTGCTTTGGTCGTCGTTGGTGGCATCATGAGAAGGATTTTGGATCAACCGCAAGTAGGCAAATATTTCCATCAACTGGGACAGCGAAGTCGACATGTATCCTGGACAAGATATACTCAAGCTGTGTTCATGAGACTTTCGATACTTTTAAGTCGAACCTCGCCGCTTGTCGACACTGTGTATTTGCCCACCAAACCTAATATACATAAATTCGAGCTATGGATTTCATTCGTTTAACACAAGTACGATCAGTATGAAACTGCTTTGGTCGTAGAGATTTTGACACCACCACCCTCTTTCCAAACAGCAAGCATTCGTTCATCATACATAAATGATCCCGATGGTAAAGTTACTTCATATCGCTATCGAAACTAGTAGCGTGCGCGGTTTTGGCCGTGTTAGGTAGTTACTGGTTTACATGAACTTCTGATAGATCAGAACCCTCTTATACCGAACCATTTTAGAGTCTTATTGAAGGTTGTTGTTCACTTGCGATTTTATTAGACGAAACTCAAATTTCCACAGTGAAAATACAAATATCAGAATTTTACCAGATGATTTATGGGAATCTGGCATCTCTAAGAATTACATATGTCATTTATATTCCATATGAAAAAATTTCTTAGTCGGTCTATCACTCTTAAGTTAAAAAATGTGATTTATCTAACATCTCATGACATTTGTATAGCTGTCGACACAGCACCAACCCTTGCCCTCATGTCGAACGTTGTGGTATGGGTTCGGTTGACCCACCTCTATATTGAATAGGAAGTAACTTCGAGTACAGAATGTTCCTTATCATGGTAAATGAGGTGAGTGCGAGATCGAGTATCGCAGTATCAGGAGTTCTACAGAAGACTGGTCCGTACTATGTGCATTTACCAACAGAATAATAGATTTAATCCTGGAATTGTAGATTTGATGATATAACTGCCCAAGCTACGAGATCTTATGTAAAGGTCATGTCAGTGTCTATACTGACTCTGCCTATCATCGGTTTGACGTTTATGACCTCACCAGAACAAATGTTGACTCAAGACAGAATAATACATTAATACGAATAAAAACGGTAACATAGATTGAACAGCTCTTCACGGCAGACCTATGCACCACCGATCATGTGTTCCCTCGCCTATCATTTATGATTCTCAAGTGCAGGATATTGAACGTAATGTGACTCAATTATCGTATATGCGTTATCAATGGCCATGTAGTTGGCAACCAATACAACTAGAGAACCACCTAATGTCCATCCATTCATCTTATTTTAGTGATGAACGTTCATATTAAATTATCTCAGCAGCTTTAATCTATGGAGTAATCATATCGGATTTTCTAATAAATGATTCTAAAACACGCGCACGGCCTCGATCTGATGTTCATCAAATTCCCGCATTCATACTCGCCAAAAGAGAAATAAATCTCTTACGGAGTACAGAGATGTGCAACTAAGTGGGTTACTAGCGAAAGAATGCTTGCTAATAAGAAAGATTACAACATCTGTGCAACGACCGGATTGCCAATATTCACTTTGAACACAGAACTAAAGAACCAAAATTTATTTAATACATCAGGCTACGCTCTTCCATATAGCGTGCAAAGCGTTTTTGAGTCATTCGTATTGTGTAATATGCGGACACACACTTTGTGCTTAGTTTAAAAATGGCTCAAACGGTAATGCCCTAGCTATACAGTCAGGCGTTTCTCTCTCACGAATTAGCGTGCTAAATAACAGAAGAAATAAATAATACAAAATGGATTGATGTAAATATTCCAAAAAGATGAGATCGGATATCTATCTGCAGGGATTCCGTCAATCTTTCTAAGAACACAGTCAAACGTTAACAGTCACACACTGAACCACAACATGACTTTGAGCTTAGTCAAACATGACCTTACTGTCAATAGTCCGGCAAAATGTGAAAATATTTGCAAAAAAGCTTGGTCTTTATACAAATTCACATAAAAAAGCTCAGATAAGAAAGGCTGAATTACTTAAAATGTGATTAAAAGAGATGCGAATATCGGTTAAAATACACGACGGGAAGCAGAAAAAAATAAATGACAGTACTGTCCATGGAAACACTGTGGAGGGATTTTGGCGATTTCTTTCCGTTACAACCCGGTTATCATTCCTTGTGAGTCTTGAGTGAATAAGAGCATGTTTGAATTTAGCGTGTAGCATAAAATGTACTCCTAGTTGCAAACACTTCACAAACACTCTCATCAAGGTAATACACGTAAAACTGCACTTTAATCGGCAGAAGGACGATTGGGCTCTCACTTTCTTTTCTTAGTAGTTGCTCTCACTTAAAATGCTCTCACAGTCGAAATGACGAAAGAACTAAATTATAAATCACTAAACTTATTAGATATACTTGGAACATTCGTATTCCCTTGGCACCCAAATTGTCACCTTGATACTTGCACATTAAAATCAACCAATCTCTTGTCTGATGACAAGAATACTACTGTTATTGATGCTCCATAGTGTCATGAAACATATGCACTTTACTACAAGATATATCATTCCGAAAATAATTATCAATGTTTCTACGGTTGGTGCAGCCGTGTGACTAAACTGCTATACAAAGAACTTTCTGAAACACGTGTAAGTGTACGAAAAATAGAAGAAAGGAGGGCAAAAAATAGATTGATTTACATAATCTCAAGACAAAGTTATTGGCTATTGGATAGCGCGACACTGAAATGCGGCGGTGGTTTTCGTTGCTTGTTACAGAGCTTTTTTTTAGGTTGTTCATCCTGAGATATTGCTCATTGTAAGTCGGATTGAGATCAGTAATCTGAAAATGTTTTAACGTTTCTCGTTTCTTTGGTTTTTTTATTGTCACAATACCATTAATTCACCAAACCGAAACTAATTGTGATTTCAAGTTATTCGCTATTATGTCATATAGAAGCATTAGCACATAAGTTTCGTCTATGTCAACAAAAGAGCCCGATTGTGTATAATTTTATATGTTGATCTCACCTCACTTAGCCGTCTTTTTGAGTGCTGTCTTATAATTAATCATTAATGAGGAAATAAAGTCGAAAAGGGGGAAATAAAGATAACATTTATTTCAAAAATAGTGGTAAATATTGGAGGAACGTTACGAAGTTTCGTTTCACGTTCGTCATGCGAAAATAATGCTTTTTGTCACTCCAAATTTGAGATGGCATATTATCCATATTTCGCTTGATTACAATTTGTTGTCCACCTTTGCCTGGCCCCAAATGTCTCGTCTTCATTTCTATTACAAACTACACGACGATCGCAATCGACTACATTGAAAAATGGCAGAGCTGTAAAGACATTTATTGTCAAGAAATAAAATGTTTTACAAGGAGATAAATAACATATGCTCGAGCGACGATTGCTATGTATTTTAATGTAAGTGAAAAGTATTAATATCTTTTACAAAAATATACAAAGGAAACAACAGGTGTAATGTGGCCTAATTTGTGTGTGCATATGAGATGAAACTGGCTGCCACTACACACACTTTATTAATTTACGAGTTTCAAACACAATCTTAAATTTAGTACATAGAAGGACAAAGCTGTATTAAAAATTAAGTTAACCACAAAAGCATTTCAATAATAACACCTTCCTTAAAGTGGAATGTTTTTACTCCGAACTAAAACAATCTTCCTGTGAATTCTGAAATTAATTAAACACAAATTTGCAATGTCTAACTGCCATAATTTATAAAACAACTGTCGACCTGCAGTATGACTTACGGTTAAATCCGTTAATCTTAAACACTACACTTATGGAACGGCAGTGAAAAGTCATAAGTTTAAATTTATACATGCATGTTCCGGTTTTCTTCTATGCTACTTTTGTGTTGTGTCTGTCATTTCATGGAAATATTCCCGCGTTGTGATGTCATAGAGTTTAGTAAGTTCCTTTTCGTTAATGGATGACGATAAGTACCATGATGTTAGTTCTCCTAGTTACCAAAAAACACTTTACCTCATATACTGTCGTAAAACCTGCACTTCTGAAGTGCTTTTTTCGATTAATTCCCAAGTAGTGTGAAATGGCGGGTAACTTCAGGTTTTATGACATATAATAAAATATAGCGTATGGACTTTTTCAGATTACTAACAACTAGCCGCGTCAACATGGGATGTGAATTAATAATCCAGTGAATTTAGTAGATTTGCAAATTTGTCCCTCATATCTTCTTGCCAAAGGCATGCATCCAACGTTCGCAGTTCCTTTTCAGACGACAAAGGGAATTGCAATTTCGATAGTGCAATATCAAATTTGCGTGAACGTTCACGCTCATTAGACTTAGAAATTAGCTGCATAAAGTCTGCACTCAAGTCTGATGATATTCTCTGCTATACAGCATGCAGTTTGTCGAATCTTAAGCATTAGCTTCTATCGGAAACATGACATACTTTGCCACCAACGCACTGCCCACACGTTTCGATTTGGACGTTGGGAGTGACACATTCAACTGTATCGAACTAATTTAATAACATTTTTAAATGAAATATGCCTACTTCACTATTGATGAGATAATAGTGTCCAGTAACCGGGATTTAGGATATTGAAAGGGACTCTCCAGCCTACATCTTACCAACATCCATTCTGACAAAATTATCCAGAAACCATTCTTTCCGTCTTAGTTCACTTCTACAAAACATTAATAAGATCACTATACTGACCTCTTCGGCTTCTCTGCGTCTAGTATAAGGTGTTTTCGTCCGTTAAACTTCTGACACGGTAACCGGCTAAATTGTTGTACGAAACTAACAAATCCTTTGCAGTCCGTGAATTATCTACAGGAAATGAACTCTGTATTGGTAATTCACCGCAGTAGTGGATGACCTTACACTTTAGAATTGACTAGTTATCATTTTGTTGGGGACTGCTCTGCTGGTGCATATTCACAACGTCAGTAGGATACAGACAGTTTTTTTGCCCACAGTCCACTTTTTAGCTGCGATTAGAACCTCCCTCCTGTTTGGTGCGTTGATAAGACGAACTGATATTAGTAGGCTAAACAGTATATAAAAGGCCAAAAATTGGTTTTGAGTAATACCATCAGCAAGAATAAAAAAATCATATATTCACATGAACGTATGTAGCAATGAACTGGCTATTCCATTATTATCACAGTCAACGGAAATACATTCGCTTTTCGTCCTCTCAATTTCGTAAACAACGCCGCCGCCACGAGAAGGCAGTGAGTAGGACTTCCCTGGTAGAAGCTATATACGCGTGGCTTTGTGACAGCATTTCGAGAGGGAAAGCGGACTGTTCCCACTCTCGGCCGTACCAGGGCATTTGGGGGTACCTAGCCTGTCGCATACCGTGATGGTGTTCTCGTAACTCTCGGGTTGCCTGATCTGCCAAGGGCGATGGGAAAGTGCATAATGCTATTGTTGTGCTCTAGTTTCAAGGAGAATTGTATGCTAAATTGCATGCAAATCCGTCCCGTTATTGTTCTTATTATTTATATCCATAATTACAGGTTTGTTGATGTTTCTAAGTCTTTTGTGCTGGAAATCTATCCATAGATTGATTAGTTTCTTCATCACACTTAATTATGCCATGTGCATTGGATTCATAGGAAATGTTACAATCATATTATTGGCAAGTGTCTCAAGATTGGAACGGCCTTACTGGTGAATTGGCCGGCCCTGCTGACGAAAACTGTCATCAGATCGCAATGTAACTTCGGAAATGACATTGGGACTTTGCACTAACATGAAAATACGTAACAATCGTTGACCGAGCATCTGTCTGTTATTTATCTCCTTGTAAAACATGTTATTTCTTGTCAAAACGCTGTGTCGTTTTTTAATGTAGTTGATAACTATTATTGAATTATCATCAATTACAGAACACAAATTGACAACCTTTGTATTACATTTACCGTGTTGTCACTGAGTCTAAGCAATCTTTCTTACACAGTGTTGGTCAAACGCAGTTGCTGATTATCCTCAACCAGGAGACTTTGGGCTTCGCAAGTAATTGGAAGCTTCTCCCATTCATAAACCGTGTACTCAATCCTTTAAAAACTGGCAAAAGTTACTGCAGCATCGTAGATGAGCCAGGTTGGCATAGACTGCTGGGCATAAAGCTGGTAGTGTTTTCGGGTTTGCTGTTCTTGCGCCTCATTGGGGCATCGAATAATTATGGAGATCAATATTTCAGACATCATCCAAAGGCTGTCATCTGATTTTGCAACCTCAAATGATGGCCCTCAAGACTGTTCACTATCTCTTTTTTTTCGATATCATCATAGACCTACTTCTGGAAATAACGTTCTCGTCGACTGAATTTTCGGGTATTGATCTCCTCCCAGGAGGTTCACTTATCGACTTAGAATACGCAGATGACATAGTCCTGTTTATTGAAGACGCGGATAAAATGCAGAGTCTTTTGGTAGCACTGAACAACAATGCCAGGATGTTTGGGATGCGCTTGTCCCCCCCCTAAATGCAAGTTGTTGCTTTAGGATGATCTGCGTCAACACCTGAACTAAGGATATGGAGTGAAGTAGTCGAACGCGTTGACAACTTCACTTATCTTAGAAGTCTGACCAACCTTAATGGGTTGGTGTTTGGTGAAGTCTGCACGGATTCGTAAAGCTCGATTGGACGAGTATACTGCACAGCAGTTCATTCTGTCCTATTTTACGGCAGCGAAACATGGCCATCAAGAGTAGAAAATACTCGTAAGCTACTAGTATTTGACCACAGATGTCTTAGAAATATTGCTCACATCTGCTGGAATCACCTGGTAAGTAATAGTGAGGTTAGATGCAGGTTATTAGAGAATAATGGTAAATCAATTGATAGGGTTGTCAGTCTTCATCGACTGAGACAGTTGGGTCACGTGTTATGTATGCCTGGACACCGATTACCACGACACGCAATGTTGACAAGTGTTGGAGATGGTTAGTTGTTAGGGGCGACGAAAACAAAACGTGGCATCAGTCACCGAAGTCACTAACTTCTGGTTAGAGCTATGTTTGTAAATTCAGACTACTACTCTTAATTTCATCATCCATACTCTCTTAAAGGGACTTATCTACCCGAAGCACGCATATAATATTTTTGTTTTTTAATTCTATCTGATTGTATAAGTAAATACTTGAGCGCATCAGTCACCTCATTTATTTTAGAAGTCTTAAGTTTAAAGGGTTATAGACTATAAAAATTTCGACACATTCTAAAAGCTTACTCAGCTTTTGCCACTTTACGTCAACTGTAGCACAAGCAAAACCTTTCACTGTTAAACGGATCAATTGTTTATAGTCGTGATATTACTCGACTTCGTAAATTGAAGTGACTATTTTGAGTTTAATCGCGGTAGTTCACAAACATTTACCTAAAGCATTTGATAAGGAAGTACATAATTTTTCATACATATATTTATATCACGTTTTTATTCTTAAATTGTTTGACTGGAATTTCAAAACCTTTCTCTCCTAATTTGGTTTAGTTAACCGGGTACAACAGACTGTACTTAATAAGTTGATGTGTCATATTTTTCTATGAAACTAAATATATTATTCATATGATTCCAGGTAATAAATAATATACAACAATAAATGAGTGTCTGGCGCAGACTTCAAAGGGTTGGAAAAAAAGCAGCTAAATTTCAGATTACTGCTTCTTTGCATGAGCTGAATATTGAATGCTCGCGTCAATACAGCCCCGGAAACTTAGTAGTTGTTTGGTCTCGTCGCAGTCGGCGATATTCTTCGAAAGTAAATCATATGTTCATCATTAACTAGTTTTAGCTTTTGTACTTTATTTTTAAATTAATTCATTTGTTAATGGTCGGTTCGCTATGTAACAAATATATCATTTTGATTGAGATCTTGAACCGATTGATGTTAGACCACCGTTGGAAACCTGGAAGCACTGGACGGTCGTTTCATCCCATTGTGGGACTCCTCGGCAGTGCGCGTCCCCGCTCCCGCTCGCGGGATTCGGACCCAGGGTCTTCGGTCTTGAGCGCGAACTCTTAACCTACTGGACCATTGAGTCGGCATCCAATAGTGTTAGTGTTGCGCGACCATCTCCCGTTGTACTGAGGTAGATACTTGTCTCTACCCAACACGAATTAGCTCCACTGGTCACGGCTTGTACTGAGAATAAGCGGACGATTTATATATGTACTAGAACGAGACGGCTGTCAAGTGCTTCCAGGTTTCCAACGGTGGTCTAACATAAATCGGTTCGTGATCTCAATCAAAAACTTAATAATCTGCACAACCCCTATACTGATAAATATATTATTTGTCTAGTAAGCTTCAACTCCGGGATTGAGATGAGTGATAATCTGTACGCACTATGTCTCCCAACACAATAAGCAGGACAAGTACGCATAAGTAAAAACTGCCTTCAATGTTAGTTATCTGTTATTAGATGTTTTATCTATTAATTCAAATTTTTCAAATAAATCCAAACTAAGAAGATAAATGCTTTTAAGATCTCTCAAAACACGATCTATTGTACTAACTTCTGTTTAAAGAGAATTCACGTCCTAATTCGTGAATGAGTTTTGAAATATCGCTGGATAGGTTTTGGGTGGTCTAGCCAAATGTGTTTATTTTAGCAGCTGATGATATTGAATAGCGTAGTCATCGTCTTGTTTCATTGATTTGAAGCTATGGTAATGAACAATAATTTTCTGAAAATGTCACTTTCCTCGAAATTGAGCTGAAGGTAATTTTTGTAGTTCTTTGTAATGTGATCACTAGTATTTCACCACCAGTTTCTATAAAAGGACATTAATACCGTAATTTTAGCTTGCAGATGGATGAAGTGAAGTTTACCAGATAAGAGATTTTTTTAGATGCTGAATTCACTTGTTATTGAAGTTGTATTACGTACCGGTATCTTTTTTTATTATATGTTAGACTGAAATCTAGTAGGGCTATTCGAAAGCTGTATGTATCTAAAATTGAATAACTTGTAAATTCAAATTTTTCCAGTATTCCAATAGTGATATTTTTAGTTGCCTACTGTCCTACGTTTTTTAAAAGTTTGTAGCGAACCATCTTTGAATATTTTCATAAGTTCTGACCATTAAAAATGTTTGGAGATGGCTCACAACAAATTTGAGGAGAAGTGAAAATGAATGATTTTTCAAAATAACACACATGGAAAACTGTCAACATCGGGGGCGAATAACGATAATAATGAACATATGAACCTCATCGTTTCGCTTTGCTATAACGACTTCATTGGTTTTACATTTTTTTTCACTTCTTACTTTTTAGATCTACTTAGTTTGATTGCATCAAGAACAGTTTTAATTTTCCAACCATATATTATTTCTGTTAGAGAAAGTAAATTTGACGCTCATAGATTTGAAATTCGATCGAATTTCCACGCGTTCAAAGCTGGATCAGGAAAAGCGTGGCTTAAACTGCAATTAATCGAACATTTTCTTTACGCTCTTGACTGTTAGAGTCAATGATACTATATGTATCAATGCCAAGGTTGGACTTGATAGTTGAGCATTGGGTAGAGAGTTAATAGTAAATATTTATTTTATTATATCTCAATGAGTAGAAAAATTGTATTTCCCACGTTTTGTGACTTAATATACGCCACTTCTCCAGAGTAAATAAATAACCGAAATTAAACAAAACTTGGAGAAATTAGCCATATGGACCACATCTACTTGCTCCCATAAAGTGTCATGTTTGAGGTTGATGAGGCGTTGAAGTCCTGTTGTTGCTATCTGTTTTGTCATTTTAAGATCTTGTCTGACAAATTATGGAATTGTGCATCGTTATATTCACAAGTGAAATTTCGTCATTTAAATTGATTAGAGGTTTTGTATTGGCTTTAAATCTTCCACTTTCTCTATGAACCTTACCGATGTATATATATTTTACAATCATCAGGAGAAGACTCCAACTTTTAAATGCATTAATAACACAAACACCACACCGAGTAGGTAGGCTTTAGTGGATTGTACCAATAACAAACTCGAGCGCTTCCCTTGTACCTTATGTATCACTGAGCTGTGGGAATATTATTACAAAACTCTTTATTCAATTTAGAAGTATAGCAAGAAAGCGGTTAAGTGATATTTTATGATTATTCCAAAGGTAATAAATTATTCAATAAGGTTATTCAAACCACGTAGCGATGTGAGTTAAAATACAAATTTGAGAATTTTCTACTTCATCGATCAACAGCTTAAAATGTTTATTTCTAATTTAATCAGTTTTTTCAACAACAAAATAAACTTGCCAAAATACGATAGATTTGTTAATTTCTGCCTCAAAATGTCTTATAAATCTAGGGTGAATAGAAATCGGTGGCCAACAAGTTATGTGTGTTGTGTTTAGAGATTGAACAGATCAAAATTCCACTACTATAATCTAAGCAACCAATTAGTACTGGTATGTTGTTTATCAATCTAATAACTGCCATCCATTCATCATAAAAAAAACTATATACTGTTTAAAAAATAATCATTATCACTACTTTTTAAGATATTTATACTTATTTCTTTCCCAGTCATTTGAACCTGTTAAAAGTTCCGGCAATTCAAATTCATTTAAATATGTTTGGTCTATGCCGGAGAATATAGAATTCGTCACTACTTTATATCGAAATGAAAAAGCAATTCAATTTGAAGAAAAAGAATGGATATGTCAAATCGAAGATGTAATTAGTATTTTCTTTATTATTTAAATAAATTATTTCACCATCTCAAGTAAATCACTCGTGACTAGCAGATCTGTCAGAAATCTAATTTTAGTATGTATGTGCTATGAAATCTGTGTTATATGATAATCTGATTATCGTCTTTATTAAATACCACTAAACTGATAGTTGATGTTGTTATTTATAGCATTTATATCCTGCTCCATGAATGTAGGGAGTTAAGCTTGTAAATTTGAGTGTACTAAACATTTTTGCTTTGTTCTTTTGTCCTATTTAAACTCGGATTAATTAAATTTGTTTATCTATTTATTTCCTGAAGAAGTGGCTTACCATGAGTCACAAAACGCCAGAAAATCTAATTCGTCCACTCATTAAGATATCACAAATATATCATTAGTCGTATTATTAATTTGTGATTAAGTTGTAAGTTTAGTTCCTAGTTGAGTGAATCAAGAAAATGTGATAGGTTTGAAAGATTCCTGCTATCTAGGTTTTATTGTTTATGATCGCTAAGTAGCTATGTATATTTAGGTAAACAAGTATCCTTTGAGCTTTTTTCAGTTGATTTGATTTGACGTATTCATCCTGATTTATCAGCCTTACACACAATATGTGGAATTGAATTCAGTGTTTATAAAGCGCTTGTAAATGTTTTGAAATACCTGGTGTAAAAATCAATTACTATCAGCTGTGTAAATAAAATCTAAAATACTTCCTACTCCTGCTTGATGGTAATGTTTCCTCTTATGTATAATTTAATAAAAAAATAAAGATACCTGTTCACTTTTGCCTTACCTAAGCTTATTCGTCATGTTATAGAATCTTAGTACTAATTAATATCAACATCTTAATGATTTTAATTTGCAGATAAAAGTCAAACATTTACACTAGGCAGCTGCCCTTTTACTAATATTAAGTCTTTCACCTTTCCGAATAACTTTGTTAGTGTGTCCTACAACAATTTGGCAACTCAGACATTTAAGAACATTAATGTGGAGTCTTCAGCGATAACGACTGTCCAAGAAAATACATATTTATTACGTTTATTTGTGACAATTCAAATTTGCCTGGTTTCACTTTTCATTTTTGTTATATATCTCTTCTTACGGTTATGACCCAGCTATTCCTATTGCTTAGTATTCTCGGACACCGATTCACTCGACAAGTCCCCAAATCAGAACACGGTTGAACAGGAAAGAGATTATATTCCAAATAACAAGGTTAGATGGAAGTAAGATGCCAGTAAGAAGCCAGTAGGAAGCACAATAGGGAAAAACGTCAGTATATTTATAGTTTTTACACGAGAAGATTCTAGAGTATTCTCCAACTGTCGACTGGTGCTGATTGGATAAGAATTAGTCAATCAGCGTGCACCAAAACAATCGTGCATTGAGCACGCCTTAATCCAGTCTATGTCCCACTAACAATTTTAATTGAAATAAAGATTTTTGGAAGCTCTTCATGAAGTATTATCGATAAAAATTGGACATATATATTCACTAACAATATCAAATAGAGATCTTGTTTTCTTGATGTTCAAAATAAGTAGACAATTTATTTCTCTATTATTTGGTCTTGAATTAAAAACAGTTTTAGGAAGTTTGGATAAACACAGCTTCTTATTAGTTTTATTTCTTCGAAAGGGGTATTTAGGTAGTAAAAATCTTTCAAAACTATCAAATATAATTGAAACTCGTAAAAATGCACTACAGTGATGTTCGTGATCAGTGTTTTCAGCTTTGGATTTATGTAACGTGACGGTGTTTATTACATTAGGTGTACATTCTTGTTTTATTCTGATTTCATTTTCAGGTTGGAGCTAAAACTTCAGGTTTACTTTCGGCATCTACACCATCGGTTAGACGACGTGTACTTGCTACCAGACAAATCGATATAGCCGAATTCGTCTCAGATTTACCCGTGCAAACAAATCTCAAAGTAGTCATGCGTCTCGCTTCTAAAAAGTTAATATCTGCTACAGTTCTCCTTACGTTAAATTCCGTTATTGTAAAAGCTGGAGAAGCCACGTTAGTTGTTTTTTAAATTTAATATGTATTTTGTTGTTTTATTCATAAGATTATAAGTGAGATTTTATTCCACTAAAGTTAGTTGTTAAATCACTTGAGTCACTGCTTTTTAAAGCTGTTGACCAATCGCTAATGTTTACTTCAGATTATATAAATATTTTACCTTGTCAATGTATTACGAAACATCATTTTACGCAACCGATAATATAAAACGATATATCCGAATATTATTAATGGAATGTAATATTACCATGGAATGTAATAACACCGTAGTGAGCTGAGTATAAAACGAAGTCCTAAATTTCCTTAATGAATGGATGGAATTTTATAATTAACATCGGTTGATCTGAGGTAGACAAGCTTTAAAAGCCAAAAAGGATTGAGCAGCTGTTTCGCCCAAGTATAATACTTCTCAGTCAACTGGGTATCGAACTCTAGACTTTTAGATTTCGGGACAGCCTCTTAAACTTTAAACTACCGATCTTAAATTTATCAAAGTTTAACATGTAAACCACTGGATGATAATAATAGGCTAACATTATTAATTTGAAAACCATTGTGTTTAAAAGTAGTAGTGTATTCCTTAAAGGATCTTCAAGATATTTAACTGACTTGTGTAGTTTTTTTTGGTTCAGTTCAACATTGCCAAAGCCTCAAAAGTTCATTATTTTGACCCCAAAGTGATTTGGAACATTATATGTTGGAAGTCATATGGGTGTTGATTGTTCTTGGCTTTGTTTAAACTGTGATCTTTGTACTGGGGATTTTTCAGAAATGAAGACGTGATTCTGTCAGGTCTAAACGTTGAACTTAAGCTAGAACATAATATCCTGATTGTTCCTACTCGTACCTTTCATCTCAATATGTTGGTTGGAATTGTCTATCGTAACGACGTAATCAAACCATATCAGCTAGAACGTATGTTCTTTGAGACTAACAATTCAGACTCGTATGATAGATGCTGGTAAAACTGAAGGGGGCACATTTGAGTTCCTAGGGCGAAGTCGTATTTTGGTGCGTGCTCCTTATATTGACATAGGTAGTATATAACGCGAGTCGGGAATGTAATGTCTGGCAGCAGAAGATTGGGAAGATCAAAAAAGGAAGAACGGGAATAGTAGAAATGCAAGAACAATGAAGTCCGAGACAATTATTGAACATTTTGCAAATTAGGTATTATAGTATGGTTATTCTATTTTACCAGGTAACTCGGTAATGTTGTGTTAAATATAATTCGGTTGTTCTCACCTATGTTCTCCTTCACTATAGTATTACCAATTTTAATGGGATATAATTAAAATATGATTTTTCCGAGAGATTGTTATCATCTCCAGTTATGCTGCCTTCTCATACCGCATGTTAGGAGCTTTCTCTCAAGGATTTTCGATGCACGTGGCAACATTTGAAGATTTAGTTAATACATAAAATAGTTGTTCATTGGGTTCTACGATAACGCTCTCAGGTCACCAATCCTACTGTCAATTCAGCTTCCTTCTCTTGTCTCCGGGTAAATATCCTTCCACTGTATCGGGAGTCAGAAATATACAACCGCTTTCTTGCCTTTAATAGCCTTTGCGATTTTGTCTACACTCGAATCCTTTCTTCATTTCTTAACATTTTCTCTTTCTCTACTATCATTTACCGTCTGTCGCTAGTATTAACGTTTCAAACTTACGAAATTTTGTCCGAATTTTCATGAAACCAAAAGGCTTCTTTGAGTATGTTTTAAACCTACCGCCATCGATTTATGGTGCTTCTAAAACACACATACAGGATCATAGCATGGTCATTCACTTGGCTTTACCTAGTTTATTAGGTAATCCAGCGCGATTTACCTGTTGTATATCTGAAGGTTATCCCGGTCTATAGGAATAAACCAAAATTTTCTTGCCATAACTATATATTTATCATTGACAAATATAGTGTGTAAAATGTTACTTATTGCTACCACAGAACGTTTAACCTAAAGATTGTGCACAGGAAACTTGTAGAAATCAGACTGGTTTCAGATGTGGACTTAAATACACCGATCCAATTTTCACTTTTTTGTAAGGTTATTCAACAACGACATAGTTTTGTGGTTCGCACCACGAGTTAATCTTAGTTAGACAATGTTAGAAGACCAGAAAGCACTGGAAAGCTTTTTTGTCTTAGAGCAGGACTCCTCAACAGTGTACATCCATAACCCAATCGCGGATCGAATCCTAGTTTTTCAGGTCTCGTGAATGTTCGATTCTTCCTGGTTTTTAGATGTTGTCTGAGATTAATCCTAGCTGTAAACTATGAAATCCAATAATCTTTGAAACACCATGTAACAAGAAACAAGCAAAGTTACTGACGCCCAATAACGGTGGTGTTTCTTGACTTTTAGGTGGCATTCGACTCTTGCACAGTCGACATTTTTAAAAATAAAATTCCATTTATTCCCCCCTTAGGAAGGAATGTATATTTTGTTATTTCCATATCAAGTCACTAACTGACGATGGACCGTCGAAAGTCTAACCTCTGGTTCACTTCATCATTAGCCCAAATGAAAACATTCAGGACTCGTGACAAGTTTGTTGTACATAAACCTTCATCTTGCAAGTCATAAATTCATTCATCAGACTTATTATCAGCCTCACAAGATTCTGGGTTTTTTTTCGTTTCTTCTGCAACAATATTCATAACATGCTGCTTATCACAGTTTTTTTTTGTTGGAAATCCATTCATTAACTATTTCCACTAATTTTTTGTGCAACATTTTTAAGATCTAAAAGTGCTGAGCAGAATCTTCCATTGAATCAGATAGTTTCTTGATATATCACATCAATTATCTCGTCACATTATTTTTGTTCGATTTCCTTAGCTTTTGTGAATTTGTGATGGCATGTACCCCAATTTCACATAAAATCGAGAGTTTTTCTCAATAGATGTTATTAAGAATTATAAAAATTCGTTTGTATATAAAGCCATCTTTCTTTTTATATCTACTGATCCTTTCTTTTATTTCACTCTTTTTCAGTGATGAAGATATGATATCCATAGCGTCACTCATGTCATTAAGTCGTACTGGAAGTTTTAACGTTGGCAGTGGAGTAACTATTAATGATCTAGGTGGTGTCGCAGCATTTTCACCGACGACAGCGAGGCTCTCTAACGTGGATGATCTTAATTCACATTCCTTTTCAAATAGTACTTTTCATACTGATCTTAGTGAATTAACTGCTAAATTACAATCTTTGGAACGACGTCAAATAGATCCCCTTGTAGAATCTCCTATAAAAGCAAATGGGAATTTTTCAGATTATTCTTCAGAATTAGATAATTCCAAAATAACTCTAAATAGTTCGAAAAACCAAGGTAATATGTACATATAGTTATTCTTTTTACATTTTCAAGCTTGACCGTTACGTTGTGTTAGTTGTTGTAGTAACAGTAGCTGAGTTTACTAGAGTAAATCTGATTTATGGTCTCTAGATGCATGTACATACGGATAACATCAGAGTTCATAAGATGACAAGATTTTGTTCAATATTTTAACTATTACTTGGCATATCAGGTGATTATAAAGCTACAGCTCCGTTGACTATTATCGTATCTATCTTTTCCTTTTGATTGGAGGATATGTTTCTATTCATTTCGTTGTCATAACATGATCTCTAGAAATTTTATTGATTCAGTAGTTTCACCATTCTCATACGATTGGCTGTATGGTTAACCTGTACACATTTGATGCAACTCCTGACGTAGTATTTGTATAACGCAAACAAATAAAAGTAAATACTTACAAAACTTTATGAATTTAGAGTTTCACACTTCACTACAGCGTAGGTTACAGCTGTAGGTAACTTCAAACAGCTCTTCAGACTCATAAAAGAAACTGGAATTAAAAAGTCAAATGTAAGTGAGACTATCTCGGAAAAAGACGACGCTCTTATCTGCTTCCAGCCCAGGCGTTTAGAACGATGGGCAGAACACTTTAAGGAGCAGTTCAGCTGGCCTTCATCTACTCTACAACTACCCAACATTTCCAGACAGCGTGAATAGAACATTGGAGTAGGTCCCTCGACTCTAGCTGAAGTTCACAAGGCTATAGCTAATCTGAAACGAGGTAGAGCAGCTGGTCCAGATGGATTGGCTCCAGAGGTCTGTAAGTATGGTGGTCCAATTTTAGCGATTAGGTTAACTAATATTTTAGCTAAAATCTGGGGATCGGACATAATCCCATCTGACTGATCGCAATCGCTTATTGTCCCGATATATAAGAAGGGATCGAAATCGTCCTGTGTCAACCATAGAGGGATTAGTTTAACTAATATAGCATCTAAAATACTAGCCTCGATAATTATCGAACACCTAACTAAGACTCGTGAACTGCAAACACGAGAAAACCAAGCTGGCTTCATACCTGGTCGTGGCTGCATCGACCACATATTCACCATTCGTCAGGTTCTAGGACACAGTCTTACTTATCGGCGTCCGACGATGGTGGTCTTTCTTGACTCAAAAGCAGCATTTGACTCGGTAGACCGCGAGATTCTGTGGCAGTGTCTGTCATTGAAAGGCGTACCTCAGAATTACATAAACCTTGTGAAGGCTCTTTACTCGAACACTACCAGTCGAGTCAGAGCTTATGGCGAACTGTCATTTGCTTTAGCAACCTCAAGTGGTGTCCGTCAAGGCTGTTCACTTTCCTCATTTCTGTTTAACTTCATCATAGACCAACTGATGGAAATAACATTCACGTCGACTGAATTCTCGGGTATTGATCTCCTTCCAGGAGGTCCACTTATCGACTTAGAATACACAGATGATATAGTCTTGTTTGGTGAAGACGCTGATAAAATGCAGAGTCTTTTGGTAGCACTGAGCAGCAATGCCAGAATGTTTGGAATGCGCTTCTCTCCCTCTAAATGCAAGTTGTTGCTTCAGGACTGGCCTGCGTCAACACCTGAACTATGGATAGGGAGTGAAGTGGTCGAACGCGTCGACAACTTCACTTATCTTGGAAGTCTGATCAGCCATAGTGTGTTGGTGTCTGACGAAATCTCTGCATGGGTTCAAAAATCTCATCTGGATTTTGCCAAGTTACGTGACCTATGGCGAATGCGAGATATCCGTATATCAATTAAGGGACGAGTATATTGCGCGTGGCATCAGTTCATAAAGTCATTAACTCCTGGTCTGAGCCATGTTGGTAGATGCAGACTACTTGGTTGAGGTCCACACAACTGTTGTAACCAATGGTTAGAGACTGGATTACATTGCTCGGAATGGATCACAGTGGTGTCGGTGTATACACTCCTTGTCTTCCCTTAAACCGTGAGATTAAAACTACTCTATGCCTTTCTTTCTACGAACTATTTCTTTCGCCGTGTATCATATCCTTATATGCAACTTTTTTTATCACGATTGAAGTAACGGTTTCTGTGAATTTAATGTTTAATTTGTTGTGCTAATCTGGTATGACAACTTGGACCGATGCATATATATGCCTGATCCGATGTTGTTTATGACTGACCGATTGCATTCCAGTAAATTTGCGGCATCGTTTACTCGTTTGTCGGATGCAGCTGAAGACATTCATCTAATCAAATATGTTTTCTGCATTTATAAGAAATTTGTACAATATTGCCAGGATCTGCTTGGATCACGGGATAAGTAATAGTGTGGTTTGACGCAGGGTATGGTTGGAGGAAAGTTAGGGGCGGTCAAACTAAAATGTGGCATCAGTCATCGAAGTCACTAACTTCTGGTCTGAGCCATGTTGGTAGATGCAGGGGTCCGCGCGACTATCGTAACCAATGGTTGGAGACTCTTAGTTGCATGGCTCATAATCGATCACAATGGCGCAGGTGTATACACTCTCTGTCTTTCCATAAACTATGAGACTAAAATTATTTCATATCTTTCCTTCTACGAACTAACTTTCTTCCTGTAGTATATCCTTATATGCAATGTTTCTTTTATATATTACACCATTGAGTTATTTGCTTCTATGAATTTGGTGTTTATCATGCTGTGATAATGAGGTGTGGCAACTTGGACCGATGCAAATATATGCCTGGTTTTACGTTGTAACTAACTGATTGACTGACTTATACCTGTCAACATCAGAAGCCCACACCACAATGATACCTAGTTTGTCCACTGATATTCATCAGCATATTCACAAAAAATTAGTAATAATGACAGATATACTTTGTAGATCCCATTCGTTATTGTAACTCATCCTAAAAAATATCGTATTTATTTATTTAAACATATAAACATTGGTACAAAAAGGCACCAAATAGATATGCGCCACATAAATCATTCGATTTGTGTGAGGGCTGGAATACTGCCCGGGTGCCAGACCGAAGCAGGTGGTTTTCTTAGGGGGCCACACCTTGAGCCTTTGACCTAAAGGTCTGATCCACAAGGCAGTGAAGCATCGTAATGAGATGCAGTCCCGTGGTATCCGGTGACCAACTATTAGTTCATACGCCATTTGTTCCCTCAGGATACTGGAGCTCATGTTCACCATTGATTTGGAATCCGGTTAAAGTGCTGGACATTCGCATTTCGTCCTCCAAATTTCGTAAACAACATTCGTGGTGCGAGAAGGCAGTGAGTAGGAATTTCCTGGAAGAGGCTGTATACGCGTGGCTGTGTGAGGGCATTTCGAGAGGGAAGGCGGGCCCACCCCACTCTCGACCATACCAGGGCATTTGACGACATTTCCCTTTAAAGTCATCTTTATTCACCTTAAAACAAATGAATTAATATATTGTTCGTAAGAATAATTTTTTCTATAAAGCATTGACTTATCTTAAATTAGGAAAGGAACTTGGAACATTTTCAGTTAAACTGCAGAATTATATAATTCCAAAACTTAAACCATAACAGGCTTAATGTCTGCATCTTATATCGGTGATGAGTTTTTGGAATTATTTTACGTTATAGTGTAATCACTAGCCAGTACAAAAGACATATATCAACGTTCTTGTTACTGAAGAAATATATATGATATCGGTTTAATAGATCTTTGATTCATATGTTAGTGGTTTTTATTTTACAACAAATATCAATTCAGAATTAATAAAAACTTCATATTTCAAAACAGTGCACTTAAATCAAGTCTGAGCTTTATATTAACAGTGTTTACCCATGTTTTGTTTTATCATTTGGTGTTTGTAACATAACTCATTTCATCTTACAATGAAACTTATCATCAGTTATTTGCCTTAGCCTTATTCGATTGTGATATTCCTTTAAAAGCTGACTTTTCAAGAGAACTGAATATTATGATTAAGATGTTCTATGTAATGGAGGAAAGTTGTTACTTAATATATATTTTTAGAAAGTATTGTTTATAAATTCATGGCTAACATTGAATATTTATGATAGTTCAATTTTTCATTTTCAAGATTCACTCTCATCTACGGTTGATGATATGTTGGCAAAACCACTTATTCCTACTTTTGATAAAACAATTCCTAATTCAACTGAGTAAGTAGTGATTTATTGTTTTCGCATTAAGAGTAAATATAATTTTTAAAAAATTATCATTTTATCAATTTAGATATATATATTTCTTTTTATGTTTCAATCATAAAATTAAATCGAATAATATTTGAGATATCAGCAAATTTGTTAATAATTTACTCATTCTTAGAATATGTGTATAACTTGTGAAACTGCGTGCCCTGTTTATTGTATAGCGCAACGACACCGCCAATCAGAGAGCAGCGAATTGCCGATCGAATCAGTGACGCATAAAATACGTGCGAGCAACCTAGAGCCCTGATTGGTTTCGCCTCCCTGTCTAGCCCAGCCAGTTGAGTCCAGAACATCAATCTCAGCCTCTGCAATATGAATCATTTACTTCAAACATACGGGGTTTATATACCATATATATACCGTATATATTGATTAACAGACAGGGAATAATTCAAGAATGGTAAATCGTATAATAATAGTTCATAGGTCAAAATAAAACTCATAATAAGAGGGACATGAATATGAACGGTTTAGTTACATAACAATTATACGATAAAAATATACTCGTAGTATTGTTCCATAAATGGATCCCAAGAATTATCACTCATTATTCCTAACGGGATATAGCAAATACATTCAATAATAACCAATAACATCGATACTTAAAACGCGATTTAATAATTTTCATTACTATTAAATGTTTAAATTTTATTTTTTTAATATTAAATAATTGGATAATTTGTACATTTTTCTCAAACTGTTCTAATATAAAGTTAATATTAAAGAAACTAACTTTCAAAATGTTGGGGATGTTAGATACCCAGAACTCACTTGGAAAAGGATCCAATTTTGTAATTTTATTTAGAAATTTCTTTGTTTTCGCGTCAAAAGCGCTCTTTTCACCTTCATGTCGTAGTTCCCACTTGGGAGAATCTTAAACGCTATTGGTCCGTTGTATCTTTTAGTATGCGATTTTGTAATGCTTCCCATGGACAGTTTTATGCTGTGTGTATACGTTTTGATTTATGTCTGTTGTTATCGCTCGTGTTTATAGGCTTTGGCGGAATATACTTACCCGTTCGGAATTCGACTTCTCTTTCTAGTTAGCGGGGCTGAGACGCAATAGAATAGCTAGTTTATTGGTCTTTGGTCACAAGTCTTTGTTCCGTTCGCAGTCTAAGTGAACTCGTAACTGCTTCAAACCTAGCAGAAATTTGTGATTGTTTTAAAGTTTCAGAATCTTGATGTAGGACAAATATCTGTTGGTAGTGATTAAATTAGTTGTTATGGAATTCATGATATGATGAGAATGTTAGTCAAGATTTGTTTTGTTTGTTTTAGGTTGTTTTTAAGTACCAAAGACTTGCAGTCAAATGTGTGAGTCGAATGTAGATTTTTACACAACAAATTTTAGTGAAATACTCTACAGTTCGCGTTTCCAGATTATTCTGGTGATATAGGTTAACTTGTAACTTAATTGATTGGCTAGGATAGCCTTCATAATTTAGTTACAGTCCATTTAACTCTTGTCACCAATATAAATCCCATAAATTTGTTGTTTACTTATGTGATTTGCTTTCTACTATAATGTAGGATGTAAATCAAATAGTTTTAATGTGATTTAGAAACATAATGTTAGTTTTTAAAAGTAAAAATACTTCTGGAACCATATATTTATTCTTAAGCAGTTTAAAAGCTTAGTTGTCTTTACGAAGAGTGTTCGTACATACTAGCACTAATTGATGAAGCTTTCAAGTTTTCTAAAATTCTCTGGAGAAATAATCACCATTAATAAGTGTGTTATATGGTGTGTGCCAAACATATCAGTGACCTTTGCATTTACTATAAACTCGTGCATCCATTCACTCTTCTGTACATTAATATATGACTTTGATTGATCAACATATTAGCCATTGGGCTGAATTAATCCACGGCGGCTTTTTGATTTTCAAGTTTGTTATGATTAAGTCTCGTAGTGCTTTATATTTCCACCACCCGAAACCGAAATCAGCAGTTTTATGTTATCTAGATGAACGCAAATAGAATTAGATAACAGAGAAGCGTTTAAACTATACAATAAGTAAACTGGTTATTCGTAAAATTTACACAGTTCTGGAAGATTATGTCATAATTAACAATAATGCAGGTCGTTGATAAATAAATTATATTAGAAAAGAACATAGATGCATTATCATATAGATTATTTTAGTTATTTTCCAAAAGTGCTAATTACCAGAAAGCAATTTAAAACTGTTTAGGATTTTTAGGAACATTTACCGACGTCTTCCTAGTGTGTGTGCTACTGATGTCGATAGATATAAGTAGTATGTGCCATCAATCGAAAGCGAAATACCTGGTGGCAGAAGGTTAAGATCGTATAAAAGAGAACGAGAACAGAGAATGATTTGGTGTAGAAACAAAGGAACAATGAAGTCTGAGACAATTGATTGACATTTTGTAAATGAAGTGTTTACTGTATGGTTCTCAGATTTTACTATGAGATTCTGCAATTTTGTGTTCAAATACATTCGATTGTCCCCAATTATGTTTTCGTCCACTACACTACAGATAAGTGTCCCAAAATAATCCCAGTGTGCTTATACAAATTTAATTTCCTTACTTTTTGTTCTGCATCATGTGTATACGGGATTTTATAGAGCTTTGTTAATCGATCTATTTGTTCAATAAATAAATGTCATCGTTGACTGTTTACAGTATGTTCTAATATAGTTTATAATTACGTTTATTTGCCTATTTTGCATCAGATTAAAGCCTATTTCAACTCAAAGTCGATATGATTTACTTCTATGGTGTCAGTTGGTGACTAAATCTTATGACAATATACAAATAGTTGATCTTACTACATCATTCCAGAATGGATTAGCTTTCTGTGCTATCCTGCATCATTTTTTTCCCGATCGAATGTAAGTTCGCCTTTTGTTATTTTTAATTAACGTGTAAACTGAGGTTACGCTATCAGTGATTTATTGTAAATGTTAAAACATATTTCTCCCATTTTTGTCGATATTCATACTTATTGAACAAATGTTGAAATCAATACTTATATCCTTGAATAATATAAATGCATAGTCTTCAGAGGATCGAGCATATAACTACTGGGTTCCTTGTTGTTACCTTTATTACCTTTTAGATTTGTAGACATGATCCAGTTAGCTTATATAATTTATTTTATTTATTCTTGTAATACTATTGTTCATAATAAATTCATATGTGATTACTGCTTAGTAGGTTTTAGGTATAGATTTAATTGGTTATATCACATTGCTTTAGTTTATTTTCATTTGTCTGGATAATTCATTGAAACCTATGATTTTACGAATCATAATTTACCTTCTGTATCTAGTCACTCTCTAACTTTAAAATACCTATTCAGAATACTTCACTCCGTAATAACGCGTCAAACTACTTGCCTGAGTCATTGAAAATGGAATCTAAATTCAAATGTTTTACTCATTGTTTACCTCACATAGTGAAGGTGTACTGTATGGTCCACAACAGGATATATTCAACTGTTGGCGTATTTATATAATTAGAGAGTTTTAGAATTTATTGTCAAATAAACAACCATTCATTTATCTATATGTAACTTGCTAATATTCCGTGCTGTAATCATAGTGCCATACAACCAGGTTTAGATTACAAGCAGCAGTCTTCACTGAATAAACCTACAAGGCAAAAGTATTCGATTTTTTAAAAATGTTAATTTACGTTTAAAAAACCATCCTGATCTACAAAACCTATGGCTTCATTTCGCGAAGATAGTTTTTGAATTTTTGAAAAATACCTTGGTTTCGTCTACTTCAACAGTTGGAATCGAAATAAATACCTAAAATAGCTGGTATCAAAGCCAAGACTAATAAGTAACAGGATAGATTTTACATCCAATAAAACCGTATACTTATATTTCATTAGAAATCGACGAAGTAGTGTTCTCGAAGATGAATTTTTTAACCCGATCTTTTCAACTAATACAGATTTCCAATAAGTCTCAAACATCTCTCCCTCTGAACAGTTTCATAATACTTCTTTGTATTTTATTTATTGCATTGTAACGAATATTTTTTTCATTTGAAAATACTTTTCAAGTGATTACGACTCATTGTCATCGGAGAACCCTCTACAAAATTGTCGCCTGGCATTCGATGTGGCTTCTAAATTGGGAGTACCCCGTGTACTTGATCCAAGTGAAGTAGTTTCTAAAAGTCGTTCACCTGATTTGCTCAGTATGATGACATACCTCCATCAAATCCGTACATTTTGCTGTGAACGAACAAAAAATAATGATGAGAACTCTCCAAGTACAAATGATAATTTAGTATTAAATGGGATATTTGAACAATGTATCAAAACCAACAAGTCTGTTTCTGTTGTAAAGAGTTCAGTTTTCGATTTATATAAATATATATCTTCAGTTTAATAGTTATGTAAATTATTACATTTTCCGAATGTTTAGTATTTTAGTCAGTATCAATATATAAATATATCATCTGAGAGGATTTATGGGTTTGTGATCATCATTGATGTTTTTTGCACAAATCTTTCGGTAGTCAAATGTGTAATGCAGTACTACAAAACTTTTTTGATAAGCCGTAAATGGTCAAGAATATGAGGTGTATAAATAACAGATTTTTAAACATGTGCTAGTCAGTTAGTCATGTGCAACTTTGAACCTGGCATATATTCTCATCAGTTCAAATTATAATGCTGCATTAGCACAGAGAAATGCAATTAACAAGCGCAGTCTCGGAATGGTATAGATTAAATATAAAAGAAGATAGTGTTTTCACGCTTGGGATCTGTAAGACAACAAAGAGTGAAATGGTTTACGCCACTGTGACCGATTCTGATCCTTGTCACGCATTGTTTCTTACTTCACAGACCCCAACCAATGTGATTTGACTTGCTTATCTTCCTCAGTCTAATCTGTCTCGACCACCTTAGTTGATGAAGATTCAATATTTCATCAACCAGTCTGTCATTTTTATCTAACATCCTATGTTTGTTCTTAGCACTGCCCACTCTATCTTCCCGACATAGAAGACCAGTGCTTCGATGACATATCCAACTAAATACTGTCAATTTACAAATAATCATTATTTTTAATATTTATTCTTCACAGCCATAAAGTGGAACAGAGTAAATTGCTTTTTAGTAAACTCTTTGATTTGCAAATGGATGTGTAATATCCTTTCTATCCGCAGATGTCATATGATGAGTCTTTCTCTCTGATCCTATTTCAGTGCTGAATATCTTTCTGAAATAATTTCAAGTGTTCAGAGATAATTGGTTGCAATAGAGGAGTGACCTTATAACATGTGTTCATGCACATACGAGGCATTTGTATGTATTTTTAAACTTCTACATGAAATATCTAGTACTGCGCGTAAAAACTGTTAACGTACACGTTTCATGCAATTGACTTACTTTATGAATTTTAATGATATATATAATTGTAAACAGCTGGTACGAAACCACGATTGAATTTATATTATTATACCTCGATTGTTGTTCTGGTTTTATTTAAACAAGGTGCTTATTTCCCTATATGATCATTATATACATTTATTACATATTTTATATTCACCTTTTTTCTCTCTTTATTTCGCCTATTGTAGCTCAGAAACGAATCATAGTTTGCAGATAGTTGAAAATCCACCGGATGAAAACTCAAACAATGCTAAAAATAATTTAACTAATCCAGATAAAGCTGTTAGATCAACACCTAAAAAGGTAGTTTCGTACAAATTTGTGTTTAATTGCCTGTCGTTTGTCATTATTTACTTTTTAAAAAATTAATATTTCCACACCTAAAACTAGTTTAATAAGAACATAGATGTATCGGGCGTAGTTTTTGATATTATTTCTGTTTGATTGCTGTATTTATGTGTCAGTATTTGGCACTGTAGGCAACTGCGTAATCGGAAAACGGACAAATAACCAACAACATTTTTGTTATTATCACTAACTTGATTTGTGTGACTATGCTGATTACATAATGAGCAAGGTTCTCTCACAGTTCTGGGTTCCAATGGTTAGTGTGACCTACCTTTCTGAAGATGACGAGTGATTATCATATTGAAATTAGAAAACTACTTTCTTCATGACTTAGTTTTTATGTACTGCTTATGAATAATGTATAATCATATAACCTGGTATGTAGTTTTTAGCGGCTCATAATGAAAAGAATATCAAGACTATGATGAAAAAAATGAATTACAATTTAAATGGCTTATTCGTTACGTGATCTATTAAACCCTGACGAATTTTTAGCGTCGATTCAAACCATCACTCTTACCTTTCTGATTATGCAAACATCAATTCACTAAATAATAACAGCCGGAAAAAATGTAAACGTTTACGAAACGGAATAAACACGTATTATATCAGAATATCATATTATTTTCACTCGGTCTTTTAGACACACTTCCAGAACGATTTTGAATAGTTACCTGTATTTTATTAGTATCCTTATTTAAACACTATTTAAAACATATCAATCACATATAATTGTTTTTTTAATGGTGGCTTGATTTTTATATTCAGTACCTCTTAATGATTAAATCACCCATATTTATTTGGTTTTGAGGTTAATGTGTTTATGTTTGAGTTTTTTTAATGAAACGACTATTTACAATCCAATTTCGATACATCCTATCATTGTCAGTTTTATATCTTAGAAAACACTTGTCGTAGCCTTTTGTCGCCTAAAAATCTGAGTTTCGTATGTCCGACGTGAATAAATTGATTTTGATACTATTCAACTTGAGTTTGTTTATTGATAATAAACGTTATAGTTCAAGTGGTTATTTGTTATACTATGATCTGGTAAAATACATGTTAAAATGATCATAGTAAAACATATTTAAACTATTATGATAGAACAACAATTAAAGTATGACTAGAAAATTCTTCAGACTTATAAGAGTAATGACTATTAAAATGTCAGCTATCTCTCACAAAGACGAGATAGTTGTATACTCTAAGTCCAGATGATGGGCAGAATATTTCAAAGGACTTTATCCGGTTTCGAGTTACCCACTATTTCCAAATAACCTGAGTAAAGGTCGATATTAGCCCCCCAACCCATCACTTGATGAGTTTGAAAAGGCTATAATAATGCTATTTAAGTACTGTAGGACCTGATAGACTAGTTCAGAAATTCCTTAAGGATGATGATTCAGTTTTGGCAGTTGTACTGATTGCGATATTGACTGGAGTCTGATAACCGGGCATGATCTTAATTAACTGATGTCAATTTCTGCAAGGAATAACCTAGATTCTTTTGTGATACCTACTGATGAAACACTGACTAATTCTATTTTTTAATACACTAACCTTCGTAATCATTGTATACTTAATTAAGGCTTGGGGAAAGTATTTATATTTTAAATGTTGATGTGAATATTTTGGTCAAATATTCACTCTCCCTTAAGTTTTAGAATATAGGTTTATCTACTAACCCGCTATCATAGCTTTATATCTTGATTTTATAGTGACACTCGACTCGGTAGATTTTCTTTGACAGGCGTACCAATGAAGTACGCAAATCTTGTGGGTGTTCTCTACTTATGCACTACTGATCGAATCTTAGTTTATTATGTCTTGTCATGGATTTCAAGCTAGATTGATGTGATTCATGGTTGCCAACTTTGCTCTTTCCTACTTAAATTTTTTTATTGATGTCTTCTTAGAAGTTATACTTATTTCATCTAACTTTTAAGGGATAAATCTCCATTCTAAAAAGTTACTAGCGGTCTGAGATTATATAGATTATAGATTCTGTGCCTGATTCGATGTTGCTTATTACTGACTGACCGCAGTTTCTATATGAATGTGTATAAGTTGTCTAATGATCTTTTCTTATTTTCTATCTTATCTGTGCCTTGGCAATTACTTTTCTGATTTTCTTTTCGCAAGATTTCTTTTACCCTATGCAGTGTTTGAGAATCAATAAATTGGATTATTTAGAATATTTACATAGATTTTACTTCATGTCAAGAAAGCGAGGTTCAAAACGTTGATTGATTTAATTTCCGTAACCACTAATTCATCATTTTACTCAGACATTCTTCAGGTAGATAGATAGGTTTACATATCAATATATTTCTGTGCAAAGGTAAATTAACTTAGACTTATAATATCACAATTAACAAATTAACTGAAAATCATTTTCCCGTGGAAAGTTTAGTATATGTACCTTTGTGATAAATATCATGAAAGTAAATAAACTGAGTATTTAGTTATTGATTATACGATTATATGTAGGTAAGGTTTTGTCTTCCAATGAATAAGAAATTAAAGCCTCGGAAAGTGTTTCAGTTCGACAGATAAATTTTAGTGCTTCATTCATCAATCTACCTTTTTCGATTTTTCATTCAATCATCTATGAATGAAAACTTGTTGGGAAGTACTTTCTATTGTCTAAGGCATTTACGTATCAAAGCTGTATGTTTCTACACAAAAGTTTTTTTATTTATAATTAAATATAATGCTAATAACTCTGTACTTTACTAATTTTTAAAAAATACTCTATCCACTCTCTTTTACTATTTGTTTTCAAGAAAATTCCTTTAATGAATTATGAACATATGTTGGCTAAAGCACGTAGTCTGTTGCAACAATCACGTCTAAATTACTTAGCACCAACAAATCGACCTGGTGCTTTACCGCCTCTAGCGCATCCTCGTAAACCACATCCTATATCTGGTTCATTGACAGCAATTCATTCAACTGATGAAAATTTTAACCGAAATCCAGTGACAGAAGAAAGTTTAAGGAATATTACGTTAACTGATGGACAAAATCATCGATTGACTGATACAAAGTTATGTACAAGTAAGGTTTAATTTATGTAAAATAATTTTTCTCGTTCTTCTGTAGTGTCTCACGTTTATCATGTACACGTTTCTGTACTTTACTTTAAATTACTCTTTTTGTGTGAGGGGCTGTCATATTATTTGATTAAGTAAACGAAAATTTATAACAAAACAAGTTTCAGACTTGAGTGTTAAATTCCTAAACACCCAAATCATACGTGAATATATAAGTGTTTTTTTTAGGTAAATATATTTTTAAAAGTTGGATTCAAATGGCTCACCATGTATGTGAAATGCTGATAAATTATTGAAAGAACCCAGGATACATATATTTGAAATATTATGCTCTTTTAGACACATCAATGTTCTTTTAAATATATAGTCCAAGTAAACTAGCTATACTTCTGGTCGGTTCATGACTCCAAGTCTTGTAACAAAGTTTAGCCTATTTATTCATGATCGTTCTATCAATCTGTTGAACTTATTAAGTAATTACTTTTCAAGAAATGAACATAGCATATACAATAATATCTATGTATGGTACTGAATTGTATTGTTTTCAAGCATCTTAATGATGAATCATCAGTGACTTCAGTATACACACATCTTATATGTGTATGTTTAATCGTTTTCATTACAGATTCTTCAGCTGATAAGTATTCTCAATTATAATTGACTTCATTGCATATTATTTAATTATATATTTTTTCCTTTGATTTAATCAACTCTAAAGATATTCAGCTCTACTAAAAATTTTAAAGAAAATACTCCATAATGTAGTCGATGTATTCATTCATGAAGTTTCGGTGATGAATACAAACTTCTCAATTGTTAATATTTTCTCACCTTTATTGTTTACGTTACTCAACTGTAGGTATTTGTAACTTTATACAATGTCATATTGGAAATAGTGGAAAATGCTTTATTTTTATAATACTATTGTTTAAACTTTATTTTCTTTGCTTGTAATATAAATTCACAGACGTTTTTAGACTAAAACAATTTATTGTTTTGATTCCTGAAACAAATAGTAAATTTATGTTGGTAACAAACTTCATTTAGTTAGTTCTAACTTCTTCATATATCAATCCGTTTCTTTAAAATTAAGTTAGATACACACTAGCTATTCACTTACGTCTGTTACCCCTCATGGAGGAACATGAGCCACTGACTAGCATTCTGCATTGAACTCTTTCCTGGGCGATCCTTTCCAGTTATTATTCATTCTTTTGATATCTCCTTACGATTCCCAATGTAATGTGTTCCTTTGTCCTCCTCTATTCCTATTCTCTTCGTGATTCCATGTTAGCGCTTGCCTCGTGATGCAGTTTGATGATTTCCTCAATATGTATCCCATACATTTGCAGGGTGTTTTCCTAATTTCCTCTTCAGCTGGAAGCCGGTTTGTTCTCCACCATAGTACGCTGTTGTTGGTAGTATCCGGCCAACGAACATTGAGTATCTTACGTAGACACTTGTTTATAAATGATTGTATCTTTTTAATGATGGTTATAGGAGTTCTCCGAGTTTGAGCTCTATACAGTAGAACTGTCTTGACGTTCGTATTGAAGATTGTGACTTTGATATTGGTTGACAGCTGTTTTGAGTTCCATATGTTCTTCACCTGTAGGAAAGCTTCCCTTGCTTTGCCGATCATTGCTTTTACGTCTGTATCCGATCCTCCTCGTCTGTCGATGGGGCTGTTCAGATACATGAAGGCTTCCACTTGTTCCAGAGCTTCTCAATAAAGTGTGATTGGGTTGAGGTTCTCCTTGTTTTATTTGAGGAAGTCACACTCCGACCCTTTGACCTAAAGGTCTAATCCACAAGGCAGTGGAGCAACGTAAGGAGACGCAATTCCATGGTAGCCGGTGACCAGCGATTGGTTTATATGCCATTTTTTCCTTCGGGATCCTGGAGCCCATGTGCACCATTTTTTTGGAATCAGGATTTCCCGACTCCCCTAAATGGACCCTCCGTGTCCACTGATCCTTACGGAATCCGACCTGTTGATCTGAAAGCTAGACATAAACTGAATCTTTCATCGGTTCGATAACACTCTTTTGAAATCTTTTTCTGGTACTGACCGTTGTGTGATTCCTCTATAGTCCTCGCATTCGCTTAGATCTCATTTTTCTGGTAATTTGATGAGATATGTTTCCTTACAGTCTGTCGGTACTTGTTCCTCCTCCCAAATATCCCTGAATAGAATGTGGATCATTTTTTCAGTTAATTCTATTTCTATTTTTAGGGCTTCTGCTGGTATATTGCCAAGTTCTGCTGCTTTCCCACTCTTGATTTGTATTACGGCCGTCCCCTCTTTTTTCGTTTTGAAGGATGGTTTGATAATCCTGGATCCATTAAATTCCCATTCCTACAAGTGGTTTTTGTGCTTCTATGGACGGCATCATATCAACTCCCTGAGTGTATGGAGCATTTTATTCTTCGTGACAAGATTACAGACACATCTCTCCCGAATCTGATCTTTTATGTTCAGCTTGTGTCCAATGGGTTTCACTGACTCCGAGAGCCGTCAAGTTGTTTCTCCTCATTTCCAAAGCAATTTGATTGATCCTCCCGGTCTCTCACATTGTCCGGATATTCCATGTGATAAGATGGTTGTTGACAGGAAACCGTTGGCTAAGGTTTCGTGGTTTTTGGTGCTCATCAACAAGGTGTACCTGCACTCTTGGGGGAACTGATGCTCCCTGACGGATTCGATCCCTTGTCACCGAGCTTCACAGTCAGAGACGTTAACTTTGGGTTATCCGGGCCGCGACTGACCTCATGTAGATCTGAGGTGTATTTACAATTAATTGATCACTACCACATTGCACGCAATATCGATTCAACTAAACTAGTGGCCACATTGCAACTTAGTCGATAGGATTTGATATGCACCAAAAAGAACCTGACACACTTGATATTGATCACCTCCCAGTGGTTTCTGATGAATATCGGCTTTCAACATGAAGCTTCATAATTATTCTTTCCACTTGGAGGGCAGAGTTTGAATTGTTTGTTCTGGTTAGTGTGTTCTATCAATATTATTTTCTACGGAATGAGGTTGCCGACCCCATGCTCAACCCTTCTGCTTTACTTGGACTTGGGACGGGCAGTAACCCTAGAAGAGCTACAGACAGAGTTAGATAAACATTAGTACACAAATACAAAAGAACTATACATACCTTGCTTATTATTAGAAGTTAGTTTTAAGAGATAATAATTAGCTCAAATGTATATTTCTTACAGAAATTAGTTTATAATAACATAATAATGTCCATCTACTCAAAGAAATGAACATCAATTATCCTCAATAAATTTTTCTAGTTTCATAATTGTTTTATTATAAAAAAGTTGATTGAATTTATTGTTTGTATTTTATTATTTTCAAAAAAGAAAATTAAATATCTCACTTAGTTTTTACTACTTTCTAATAATAATGTTTAACACTTTTTTTCCCTTTTTCCATGCACCAATTTTCGTCTTATCATATTAATCTATATCTATGCCCATCTATCTATCTATATATTTATGGCTATGCGCACGTATTATTTACTGAACTAACTACTATCATATATCTACTTATTTTCATTGAAATTACACTGCACTTATATTAAATTGATGTGAATGCTATTCGTTTATTTCTTCATTCAACAATATTGCTTTGGTTGCATAATTTTCTTGATGTCTATAATATGACTGAATACATTTGCATATATATATATATATATATATGCTTATGGTAATGCCTATTGTCTGCCTTGCATATTTGATAATGTTCATTGGTTTGTATGTAATATATATAATTTTGTTTGCCTAAATAAAATCTTATTTTGGAATAATTGAATAAACGCATTTTAATTTATTTAGAACATCGAAAATCCCATAAAACTTTGTACAGATTTAATTCAGATGGTAGTTTTAATTTGTTGAAATTCACTTTTTTTTTATTGAAAATTTAATAATAAAAAAAACACAACATATTACTGACATCAATTAAATGTTTGTTTGTTTGTTTTAAATAATAATCTAATACAAATAGATTTAAATGTAGATGACCATTTTGTAATTTCATAGAAATAAGTTCAAAAACACAAATTATCGGTTATTATATTTTAATCTATTAGCATAATATACATATATAATCAATATAAAATTTAATAGTACATTATTATTCCATTCTAGAAATAATCTGAAAATATTTATCAAATTTATATTATGAACTTGATATAGATAAACTGGATTTATGTAAATAGAAATTTATCATTACCAGTGTTTATGTCATTGTTGAAATTAGTACTTAGAATATCGGTTAAAATCATTTATAGCTCATTGAATGATCTTGATTATATTGTGTTCTGAATTGGGCAATCTATTCATAAAATTTTCATTGTTATTTTGATTTATATAAGCATTTTTTAATTTAAGATTTAAAATTTCTTTCTATTATCAATTGAGTAGTTAATCTTCATGACTATGTTGATGACTGGTTTAATTTGGATGGTTATTTTTTTTGGATCGACCTCTTACTGATTAACTTTTTTCTGTGTCAGAACAGTAAGTGGTTGGTTGCAAATTGATCTAATCACCTCATTTCCGACTATTGTGGCATTTTCTTAACTAAGTGCGTATCTGCAATCTCTTACAACCATTCATATAAGTGCAGATATATTGCATTCTTTCTGTATTGTGTTCGTGTATCTTTATTTAAATGTAGAGTCTACCCTCTCACATAAAGTGCTTCTCATACTTGGTGCAATTACTTTTCTTGACGGTCTTGCATTTGTCTTCTTTCGCTGTCATACAACAGTTAAACCTCGTTGGTTAACAGCCCTCAACGCATTCCATATTTGTTTCTCAAATGTTTTAACCGACCAAAGGAACTCTAACTCAGATACATTCATCAGGACTAATTGCAGAAACTATGGTGGTATAACTGGATGCTGAAGTCTCACCAACAATAAAACCTTAAGTTTTGGGAATACTATATGGATAATGAGTTTGTTGTCATTGAGACACGAACTCAAAAATTCTCTTTGATTGATCAGTAGCATTTTCAGTCAATAGAAAACAGTTAAACCACAAAATTCTATTGTTGGGTGTCCTAATTTTATCCAACAAAACAAACAAAAACGTTATAAACATTATCACACAAGAAGCCAGTTCTCATAAATCAGTGAAAGCTCAACAATAAAAATAATAGCGTACAAACACCTGTAAGAAAAGCCAGAACACACTTCAGATCTCAGCGAAAAAAGTCAAACGCTTCATTCGGTAAAATGGCTCCTCTCACAAATTCACCAGGTGTTTGGCAAATCGATATACCATCACAAATTGACACAAGTGTTTATAATAAGAACAAATCATCACAAGGTTATTGAAACCCGTCGGAATAGATGTCACATTAATGCCAATATGATCGTGTCATTCTTTTTTGCGAAGACTGAACGGTATATTTCATACATCTTAGCCGAAAACGTCTTATGTCTTTATTAAATATTACCTCCGTCTGTTACTGTTTTGATATTTTTAGCTTTGTTCCTCTAGTTTTTAAGCTGTGTTAACCAAAATAATTTTTCAGATTGAAGCATGGAATCACATTTACAAGATTGTCAGGTTGCTAGAAACTATAGCATCGTTCCAGTAGTGTTATTAGATGGATTTCAGTTTCTAGTGTGAGCTCTTTTTATTTAGCTCAAATCTCAGTTCTCAAACATTAGACAGCACCCTAATACCATAATCCGAGATATTCTCATTGTTCATCTTTATACGTATAGGGTTACCAGATTTTCTGAATATTCATATCATATTACTTTGTTTTTCTGCCAGTCGTCCTTTTACTTTTGCTATGCTAATATACACAGTAGTAACATGAATGTGTCACATGATGAGTCGGAGATTGAATTGCAAGTAATTTCTCAGTTTGTTATAGTGTTGATTAAAATGCTTCTTTTCAAGATGTAAACGATTATTTGTCTTAGTTTGAGCTTGTTTACAAGTGCTCTTTTTAGTCTGTAACTATTCATATCAATATTTCCTGTTTATCGGTGATTTAGGGTCGATTTTATCTCCTAGAATCACGTGTACAATAAGTAATTTAGTATATTTTGCATATAACAAATAATGGTACTCAACAACCGTATACTAAGTCATCGAACAATGGTATATACTGTTTGGTTACTAAATTCTCGGTGCAGTGCAGTTGCAAATTCTTATTAACTAATCGAATGTTGATTGTCAGAGCTTTATTCAGCTGAGTATATTTGACTTGATTAACTGATCATCTTTCATCCACTTTACATATTAAATAAGGGATGTCGGTTTTCTGTAATTCAGGTTATCACGAATAACTGAATAGTTTTGGTTGCATGAGGTTATTGATGCTCACTTCCTTTATTAGATAAAAAAAAGTAACGTTTTGTTTGAACAAAATAATACCGATTTATTGGTGGTCTTATTGTGTATATGCTTAAAGACTGATGCTCTACTATAAAGTTTCGCTAATCTTCAGACGCAACTAATAAGAAAGGGGAAAATCATGTGCGTAGCAGTCAGATGTATACAGTTTTAGTCGATCCAAGCTAATTACCTTTATAAGCGGTTTTTAAGCTTAAATTTTTGTTACAAACCAACACCCAGTGAAAACCGTCGACATCTAGTTACCTCATTTCAGAACTAGTTAAAGATGGTTACCAATGCCTTCATACAACAAATTAACCAGTGCCTTTGGGTCTCGCGATGAGCTCAGCTTGGCTAAACTGAGATCCACTAATCAAGAATCACCCAATTTGTGGAATGACTCAAACCCCATAGTGTAGAGTGTAAAGTTATTTAGGAACTGCTCTGTGTTGTTCCATTTCTGAGAGAAATTATATCACATTTGTAACTTTTAATTAATGCAAACTGCTGTGTTTCATCCTAATCATACATTATAGTGTTTCCTACCAAAATACCCAGCTATCTGAGTCTAAATGCTTATCATCGATAATCTCAAGTTTAGCTACTAAGTTCTTAGTTAGTTTCAAATTATGTATATACTATACATAAATGTCCACAAATACGAACATTTTCTTATAATGCACTTATTTATGTCAGCTTATTATCCTGCTTCATAGTTGCTTATATTTGTACCCGTTCTCTAGCTTGTTTTCATGGACTACATATATTACTGGATAAACATATGATTTAGTCTATTTATACCTCCAATTTACAGGCACAATATGTATACCGAATGTTGATACCTCATTAAATTCCATTTCTAAGCCATTTCGATTTTCAACGAGTAATATTTTTCCAACACTTAGTAAACCACCACAGTCAACTGTTGACACAAGGTTTTCTCCGGAACAAATGAAAGTTAGACGTCTACGTCTGTCACAAATGAATCTCTTTGCGTCGGGTCGAGGTAGTGGTGCACCAGTACCTATACGTATTGGTGAACATCATTTGGATAATAAAACGGATAACCGAACGCATGTCTCCACTTCTGTAAGTTGAAATATTTAAATTAATTATTTTATTGTAAAAAAAAGAATGCAATCGAGAACTACTTATATTGAATTAGTGTTTCATGCTTTTCAAGTGACTCTAGTACCGGTTATGATGACCGAAGTAGGAGCGAAATCGTTTGTACACATTTTTACTTAGAAATTCAGTTTGTTAGCTTTGTCGATAGAAAAAAACGTACGATAAGTAATTAGCTTTTGCTTGATCATAAAGCACAGTGTTCAGCTAATTGGTGACGGAATTCCCGAACTGTTCGCTTATGTAACTAGTTTAACAGCAGCAGTTTAATTGGAGAAGTTTGTCATTATTTTTTGTTTTGAGGATAAAATCGTTTCAGAGTAAAGCATACGGTTTGTTTTTCTGCGGAGCTTTTCTAATTATCGGTATTATTTCATTAGTAGTTTCGTCTATAAACTCTAGTTTTATGGGCAAGGTGTTTTTATTTCCTCTTTATAATTTAATTTGCATTTACAACTTAAATTTTTAGACTTATTTCCGATCGGGACTAGGAGGAAGTGACTAGTGTTCTGTTTCTGAATGTTGGCTGGATTCTCTTTAGTAATTTCAGCATAACGATGGAAGTTTACTTACACTTGCAGAGTTTTTTTTGTCATGTTTTCGTTCGTGTATCAGCCAACAAAGATTTAAAATATGCGTCATTTTTTCAATGACATAAATCTCTCAGTACTGATGTATTCTACTTTTTGATAGTAAACCATTAACATATTTTTATTTACATCTCTATAACGACATCGTATTTAGGATTTTTATACGGAATTATTTTAGGAATCTTGTCAGGATATTTTTATTCACGTCATTGAGGGTACTCGTTTTATTGCCCGCACACTGGTTAGACAATCCCAATCAGCAATGAGTTCTTTACTTTTCAAAATTAATGACTTACTGTTACTATTATTTTCTACAATATCATATAAATATTATGTTTATTAGATATACAGTATTGTCATCGTTAATTTTTTTATACTTCACTTTTATTACATCCTTCGGTGAACAAACATTTGTGGAACTCGTTTTATTCACTAAGATCAAAAATCAAGGTTAGTTACATAGAAAGTGTATATTTTGATAAACTATGATTAAGATGTAAAAAAAAACACCCATTATGTATGACTGAAGCTAGTTCACAACACTCTTTTATAAATCAACTATTAATTCTACGAGTGTAATTGTTTCTTCAGTAAGAAATATCAAATATTGCAGTATTGTGTCGTCTATGATTTCATTATCAAAACTGGATCTGATTGATTAGTCGCAAATTCAAACAAATGGTTCTGATCAAATTTGTGTCAATAGTAAAATTAATGACTCAGATTTGACATTAAACAAATTTTACGTTGTTTTCTCAAATCATGAATACAATTTCAATACATTTTGATCTATTTTACCATGTCCCAAAACATGGATTGGTTTTCGGTTTATGCTAGTGTCGTAAAGCCTATTATTTAACAACTTTAGTTAATCACATTGCTTCGTTACCTTCGAGTGTTGTTTGACTACAAATCTAAATTTGTATACTAAATTGTTATTTATATTGGTGTCTGCAAATTTTTATTTGGCTCTTTGCAATTCAGAAAGTAAATACTTCTTGTCGGAACGTTATTAAAAGTAGAGTATGGGACTTCTCTACTTCCTACTGTTAATTACAATAATTTCACAGTAAGATTGGCCAACTAATTTACCTACTGTCAAAAGCGATTTTATACTAAACAACTGTTCAGTCGTTTAACAGCGTAATTAATACGGCGCAACGGTTGTTTACTTTTACTTATGTTGAAGTATAAGAACCGCATACTGAAAATAAATTTTTGAAGAAAAAAGTATTATGATGAAGAACTCGTTGCCGACGAAAGTTGTTCATCGCTAGTTTACAAATTAAATTGATCTAAAAATCTCGGATGTATGTGAATAGACTTGTTTTGAGCAAAAGACTGATTTCTTTCCTAAACCAGAATATTTTATTCTACTAATTTATGAGAATTAGTTATACCCATTCATTATATTGATTTACAATATCTACATATTTATATCTTCATCTTCTGTAGGCTCTTCAGCCAATAACAGTTCATCTAATGCACTTCTCTCCGTTTCGAATTATATCAGCAATGAGCAGGCTGAATTAGAAGAGGCACAAAAGGAGTTAGATAAAGAAGCAGCTGTACTAGAGCAGCGTTTACGCCAACAAATGGCATACGAACCAGGCACCTCATTAGAAGAAGAACTGTTAAGACGATGGTTTATTTTAGTCAATAAGAAGAATGCCCTAATTCATCGGGGCTTCCAGTTGTCTATAATGTAAGGCTGTTTATCCTTTTATCCGTATTATAAGTGTGATATGATTTATTACTAATGGATATTTCAATCTATATGTTATCTAAATAAATACGTTATAAACTCAGCTTATACAATGACATTTATTTCAATGGCCTTGTTTCTATTTTATCAGATTATTGCGACAACATCGAGTTCGGAAAACCAATCCAACAGACGTCCTCTGTTAGACTAAAGCAATATTAGGGTATATTTTGTTGAGATATTTTAAACAAGACTACATAAAATACAGGAGCGTGTAAAATAGAATAAAGAAGAGAATAGCGTATATTCAAATAAATCCAGTAGGTTGTCAAAAAGTCATTTTCCTTTTAAGCTCACTATCATTTATTCCGCTGTAATTTGTCTAGCTTCTTCTGCGAAATTGGAGCAGTCAAAAGTTGCAAAACGAAATCACCTTTTCCCAGTCAGGTGCAAGTTATCAATCAATAAATGATTTCATTCTCTAGGGAGTAGATATATGTATTGATTAGTGATCATAGATGTGTACCGGTTTAGCCCGGTGAACTTTCTTTACTCGTAGTTTTCTCACTGGTCGCCACTTAGATCTGCGTATAAGCAGTTTGATTATCAGTATCAGACTCCAACACCACTCGTCATAACATCTTATCTAAAAATTAAGATAGATAAACTTTCTTCGAAGCGCTTTGTAATTTAATTAAATTTTGAAACTAATTATTTTGTATTTAAACCATCCCATTTACCCTGATCCTTTTTTGTTTTAGAATCTACGTGATAATTGTCACTTTTTTATTCTTAGTTGAGCCTGTCGTGATAATACAATGTTTCACCAAAATGTTATTATACAATTACATTAATAACAAATTGTTTATTTATTTCAGGGAGAAGGAAGATGATTTGAAAAAGAAAATGAAAATGTTGCAGGATGAATTACGATCGATTTTATCCGTCGAAGGTAAATTTAACTGGATATCACCACTGACACACAGACTAAGCTACTAAAATTAACGGGAAACAAGATTGCCTTAAAAGATAACCACAAATAATTGGTATATTTGTGTTATAACATAACGATGAAATCATTTACCTTTTCAACAAATTATAGGGTGCTAGACATGCTATTTTTCGTGATTTCAGTTCTTTTGCAGTCAAAAACGTTCCCATCCTCTAGTGATTTCTGCCTTTCCCTATGTGGTTGTCCTTGAGTTTGTTCTGTTTTTTATATTTAATAACAGAATACACATATAAACAATGTTCCCCATAATTTAGCCTTTTGCGGAGACAATAAATTTTTCTTCGAAATGGACATGTATTACGGGCAGTCAGGCGTAATCCTTGATATTGTATATTTCTAGTTTATAATAGACTCGTCCGATTCATATGTTTAATGTGCATTTGTCACTTCAAGAAAATGAGTAGCTTTGAGATTTAATGGCTCTACTTTTTACGCGATTTTTTTCTATCTGTATAAAGTTGGTTGCTAAAATAAAGGAACAACAACTTACTTCTCCTGACAAAAACCGATTAGTATTTATCCCTGAATTTTTGTACGCTTAGATCAAACTACGTCACTTTTATATATCGTTACATTTGCTTACCTGGGTCTCGAAAAATCTAGCTAAGTATCTTAATTTATCCTATAAATGTGAGAAGTGAACTCGCAACACCTGGAGATTACGACAACAAAAACGTTGTTACAAGTTTATGGGCATAAAGTATTTGCTGGCTTAGGCGTTGAAATTCATCATTCAAGCATTGGGCAGTCACTTAGTATCATTAGTCACAAAAAATGGTCTATGTACAAATGTATTTCTTTACCAAGTCACATTCAGTTATTAAACCTCTTTAATGCAACGCGTCTAATTCGTGATTTCATTAAAATCTCATACTAATCGGTAAAACTTTTCTCAAAATAAAATAGATTATTTGAAAACAGATAATGATAGAAGACGAGAAGATCTTCTTTTACAAGATCTTGTACGATTGGTCAATGAACGTGATGACATCATTCAGGAATTGGATTTGCATGAGAAAGTGTAAGTTGTCTGTATTTTTACTACTTACGATTTTTGTAACTTAAAGATTAGCTGAAGAACTAGAACTGGAGCAAAATGCAGGTTATATGTCATATGGGAGGCGTAGAATCGACAAAAGTTGTGTACTACAGTAATGCTTAACCTATCCAGACAAACATGTACAATGGGCTGTGATTCATAATAGAAAATATGTCTCACTAACCACTTCTGTTCGGGATTTATTTACTTATTGACGTGTACATCGATTCCTTTCGAGAAAAGTACAATTACAGTCTCTTTCAGCGCCATATTTCAATTTGTCTCAGGCGATCACTTTTTCGTGTATTTTCCCCAGATGCCATTTAATCAGTCTTTTTCTGACTCCTGGAGTAAACAAATCGTGATGTTACTTTTCATTTTCTTGGGACTGCTTTGTGCTTTGAAAAAGTTCCTTGTGTTGCTAACTTTTATTTCATATTTACTTAAAATATATCAAATTATTTCAACAACAGAATGATTGTAACCTGTCTTATATTGTTTTATTTATCAATAATACGTTTTATGTATATGTAGTCATTATTATTGTATATTTCTCTTTTCTTTCTTGAGAGTATTATGGAGTTCGAATTGAGAATAATACAAGTTTAAACCAAAGTGAAAAGTATGACTTCTCATCGGTTATCAAGGGTTTAGACGAACATGTTACGCATGTCAATGCTTCGTTTAATAGTACCCATTAGCAATTACCCGGAAAGTGAATGTTTCCCCTAGATTCAGCCCTTAACATTAAAAATTCATTTTTCATGCATATATATACTGTTATATGCGAAAAAACTTTAAAATTATACATAAATTTCTGAAAGGCATCTCAGGCAAATCACACTTATCTGTTCTTCACTAGTAACTTTGCAGGATATTGCTCGGAACTTAAGTCTTTGATTGAAAACAAACGGCTAGCTCGTTCTTTCAACGTCCCTCCGCACTTTAAACCCCGAGCCATTAAGGATGCTTTAAGAACATCTAAGCCGAACACTTCGAGGTTTTCAGCCGTATCTACTTCACGCAACTGTTGGTCAGTCAAAGGTTGTGCGGTTTCTTTTGAGGTATTTCCACAAGCACTTTGCGATTCCTTAACTTCGACTGAAATTTGAAAGAAATGCATTACTATAGTTAAATTTTTTATTCATCAGTCGTTCAGAAACAACAGATTAACGACCTATATGATTAATAAATGTAAGGATTTTTACTTACTGTCATTGCTTGAAAACATGTCAATGTACCTATTGTGTTTCGTTTTATTGACGCTAAAAATTATTCTTATCGTTGTGCAACGAAAATCATCTTTTCATTGCCATTCTTGTTCGATCGTATTCCAATAGCTGATTCGTCATTAGATCTCATCTATTCATATAATCGTCTACTTTTTTGTTTCAAATACATTTGCAGTAGAGCTAAGTGGACTCATCGTATAATAATAATTCGTAAGTTAGTCTGTTACTAACTTTCGAACATTTTGTATCGACTGTAGGTGGATTCCGCAAGTTAGGAAACATCTAATATTACCAAAATACTTACAGATAAAAAACCGATGAGTCCAGCTTGATGAAAATGCGGTTGTAATCGCAGTTATAATCAACACACATCTAACCTGTTCGTAGACTGACAACAACTTTTCAATACGAAACCGCTGTGAAAGACTATTACGACTAAAGTAGTTTATAACCTCTGCACTCATATATATAGTATTCCACGGTAAACAAGGACAATGGCTTATCAGTTTTCAAGGTTAAGGGGTTGAAACCAATAAAGTTATCAAACAAGTTACACAGTGTGGAATAAAGTTGACAGTAGTACTTAAATTAACGTACGATTGCTTTTTCTACATGCATTTAATATGAATAACCGTGAAGAATTTCGAACAGCGCGGTAGAAACTAACTAATTATGGTCTCAAATATACCAAGCCTTAGAATGATTATGATGGGAAAACAGAGCTGCTCGGTCTTCTATACGATAATAATTAGAGCGACTTTAAAATTTCCAGTGGCTACCGAGGTTACTTACTATCTTGCAAGTTCAGTCGAGTGCACCAATGTATATTGAACTCTTCATAGTGAACAAGATACTAACTTACCGATTACATCTGATTTAATACTGTTAAGGATTTCTGTAGAATCCGTTTTGGCTTCAGTACCATCTTTTACGGACAAATTATCATCTTGTTTTGCAAGACTAGAGGAAATGTCAAATGACGAGCTAGCCGAAATTCCTTCATCACTAGAACTTGAAGACAGCTCTTTGTCCATCTCTTCTATCCATAATCGAGTACGCTTTGTATTCAGCTTCTTTTCAGAGGAAATTACAGGTTGGATTTCCGTTTGTTTCTTTTCTTTTTTAACATTTTCTATGGCTAAACTCAGTGTAATGAATTTTGTATCGAGCGACCTTACCTATATCCAAGGCTCCCCGTAGTTCGTAAGCAATTTTACGTTTTTGTCGTTCATATTCACGATCTGAAAAACTATGTTCAGGTAAAAGACCCTGTTTTAATAGTTCTTGACGTTTCCGTCGTCTTTCAACATATTCCTCTGCTTTTTTACGTTCCCGTTCGTCAGCCGTAGCATACCATTCCTTTAATTTTTTTTCCAGGTTTACATCACGCATTCTCCTACCTGATAAGTCTCTGCACATTTCATGATTGGTTGTCTTCTCGATTTGACTCCCAATAGCTCGTAGCATAGATCCAAAACCACCTTTACCACCGCGCAAACGATAGTGCACGTGCAACAAAGCACATTCAGGAATTTCTTCTATATTATTTACTATGCGCCCATTATATGTGTAATAAACATCGTCAGTATTACATGCATCATGTAACCAATCTGTATAAGTTATATATCTTGGAAACGGAGCACCATACAACGCCATCTGAAATGTCGAATTATTATTCATGTAAATCGTAAATCATAGAGACATACTGAAGCCAATATGCTTTAAAATGAAATCAAAGCTTCCTTGAAAACTTAAAAGGATAACATTAGGGTTCGAATCCTGCGAGGCGAAATCGTGGATACGCATTGCAGAAAAGTCCCATACTAGGAAGAAGCGGCCGTCCAGTGCTTCCAGGTTTTCCATGGCGGTCAAGCTTCAATTGATTCGTGATCTCAACAATTGAAATCACTAAAGTTTCCACAAAATCCCCTTCTAAAAATTTTATGAGCTAGATAGGCTGGGAGGGCAGATCCATGTAACTCTTGTCGAAATTCCCAGAACTACTGGTAAGGTATTATATTATTATTTAGTACCCTACTACTTAGTCAAAAGTAGTTCCACAGTCTAGAGCTGGTGGTGTCTCGTGTGTACTTCATGAAGACATTGGATACGAAGATCGAAATAAGATGAAAAGCTGTCAAGAGTAGATAATGGTAATCTATACACAGGGAGGACGTACAAAACTATGTCGGAGTATGGAAGGTACATCAGTTTATCAAGATCCCAAAAGATTAGTCACATAAAACTTAAGTACCCAAATAAGTTATTGGGTATTGATATAGTAGAACTATCGCGTGGAAGAAGTGGAAATGAGCGTATTTATATATCCTTTGTTAGGAAACCCATTTATTGATTTATAACGCACAGATATAGTTTTTGGTGAGAACGCTCACAAAATTTATACTTCTAATCGCACTGAGAAAAAATGCAAGCGTATTCATGTATGCGTTTCACTCGCTCCAAATTCGAAGTTTTGTTTCAGAACTGGCCTTCAGTCAGTCATATACGTTATTCCACGCACATATATACATCGGTCCAAGTTGCCATACCCCATCAGCACAACAAAGTGAACACCAAGTACATGGAAGCAGCTACTTTAATAGTAGTACTATATATAAATAAAGATTGCATATGACGATATGATATAGTTAGAAAAATTTAGTTTGTAGAAGAAAAGGTATAAAATAATTTTAATCTCCTAAGTGATTTAAATATTTATGCCTACACTAATGGCAGTTAAATTCGTTGTCCATTTTACTTCTCAACGACAAAATCTGGGTAAAGATTTAGAAAACTCGGTTTCTTGCCCAATTAGCGACTTCTGTTAGATTTTCATCTGAGAACCAAAGAACGTGTATTTTATTCAGCAGTTCGCTCTGTCCTACTTTATGGCTATGAAACGTGGCTTATGGAAACAGACGATATTCGAAGGTTGCTACGGTTCGACCATGAATACCCCTTAACCACTGCTGGTGTTACGTGGAACAACCGAAATCAATCCTGAATCACGGTATAAGATATTAGGCAAAAATTATAAATCGACCGGTTGAGTCCTCATCCATTGAGATGGTTAGAACATATTACGTCTACTAAATCAACGGTTACCTGATATGAAAGTGGGTTGAAGGAAAGCTAGGGGCAGACCAACTCTTGATTTAGGTTATGTCGATAAATGTGAATCATAAGGTCAGTGATCAGTGGCCGAAAAGCTCAAATGCGGTCTGAATAACCTAAGCGTACCTACTCTAGATTTGAAGTTCAAGTATGCCCTTTACACATAACTTTTTATCGCGTCCCTAAACTGTTTTGTTATTATTTACTTTCTCATTATCACTGCTACAACAAAGTCAGCTATAACTACCAAAAATAGCATATCAGTCTGAATGATTATATACGCACTGAATTCCTCATGCAAATTTATTTTGATAAAGTAATGGTATGACTATTTATGATATTCTGAAAACTCAACTGGTTATTTGCCCATGTACAGGTGATAAACAGTAATATGGTTTGATATAAAGAAAAAGACGATTACAGATGACGAATTATTGGATTTCCAACAACCGACCCATTACAGTTGTAACCATTAATTTTACCACTGAATCAAAAAATATGTAAAGAGTGCACGAATTTACGCAAAAAAGCGTTCGAAGGGCTATTAATAACTAAATGTTCACCAACTTGAAAATGTATATGCTGGGACCTGTCGTAAAGTACACCAGCACGTCAAAAAAATTAAATCATTATACATTCACACAGAAAACACTTTCATAGTTACCCAGATTTGAAAATGTGGTTTCATGTTATTTATGGTTGGATTACAAAACCAATCAATACTAAGTCATAGACGCTGAACGACACCATTTCCCAATTCTGGGAAAAAGTTTATACGTTTTGGTGAAATGGTACCCAAACCGCAAAATAGGGAGATATAGAATTAAATCCCTAGGAGAAAACTGTTGTTTATGTTAGAGAAACGTGTATAAAGAAACCAGTGAAAGTTTTCATGTGACCAAATTTTAAAAAAATTTCGTCGAGCCACTAACGATTTTAAGCCTGATATCTAACTAAGGAAATCATTTAATCTGTAGTCATAACTGAAACTTATGCAAAAAGAACGAGTTGCATTATTGTTTTCTCCTTAGACATCATAAAACAATGCCCGATTTTGTGAGGTTGATCAGTATCCGATCTAACAATGAAATAAGCGAACTCGTGTTTGAAATTGAACAGCGCACAGAACAAAAATACTGTGAGCTGAATTCCGACAAATCAAATATAATCACTTACATTTAAAACGCAAGGTGATTAACTGTAAGAGTGTAGCGAAAGACAAAGGAAAGCAAAACGATGTAACGAATACACTTAGTGTTACCTCCACATACTGTTCATTATCCAATACAATAGTCACGAAAAATGCTTGAATGATTTTGAACGGAATAGAAGAAACTTGCGCTCAACAGGCTTCCGTGTCTAGTAGCAGTGGATCACTGATACCTTCAGGTAGAATCCTAGTTAATGTTATCGATTAAAGAGGAAAAAGATGACAAAGCTGGCAAATCATAGTAAGATGCTATCCACAATCCTTAGGAATATATCAAGTTCTTTCTTAAAGGACTCCTGGAAAGTCGCTTGGTCTTGCTCAGCCGACAGCGAATTCCAGCAATTGACTGCTTTTAAGGACTAGTAGGTATGTCTACAGTGTTGTGCTATGTTGTTTCCGGTTTTGGGATGTTATCTTTTGGGTTTGTGCTTGGACTAAGCTTAGGTAGGTGTTCAAGGGGCTATCCAGAAGTATTTAGGATGCTGTAAGTCATTACAAGTTCACGTCTAAGACTCCTGTACTCTAATAGGTAAAGGTTCAGTGGTGTGAGGCGCTCTTCACAAGGTTTGAATTTGAGTTTTGGAACTGATTTCGTAGATCGCTGTTGGATACGTCCCAGAGTGTCCTTATACTTTAGGAGTGAGGGAACAAATATTATGCTTTCGTACTGTAAATAGGGGACTTATAACACTACTCCACTATAATTCACCCATATTTCCTTACCTACCTGAAACTATCGATGAGTCACGGGAAGTCTATACGAAGCCCACTGATTACTGATACGCTTCCAGTAGAAAAATCATCTGAGAGGACTTCAACTCATCACACAACATGGTAGACTCACAAAATTCAAGCGAACATTTTCGTGGTCTAAACCATTGGTCTATGGAACTACCTACCGGGAGCTTTACTGACGATACACTTTATTGAATATTTCGGACGTTTCGACCCATACTTTGGGTTTGTCTTAGGTAAGAAGAATTACTTAAAATTTTACACAATACTCTCGTTTATTACCATTTGGTTTGCGAAGATTTTAAGTTAACAGCAGAAGAATATCAAAAATGACACTAACTTCTCAGACAAAGATCATGAAGAATGGATGGTATAATAATTCTTTAAACCAAATTTAGTGTTGTTATTGGATTTCAGGATGATGCTGTTACGAACTTTGAATATTACGTTACCGTCCTTGGGATGACGTCTGGAACTGTTAGTATCAAAGAGCTGACTATCCCACAGCTTCAAGATCTTGTACGGCAATTTGAGCAGAAAATTCAGTTTATATCTGCTTCTATACAACAGCTCAAGTCTCTCCAGGCTCAGTTCGTTGCCTCCAAAAATTGTCTGGGTGAGCTTACCACAGAAAAAGAAAATAAAGATATTCTTGTCCCTTTAACTTCAACCTTGTGTGTTCCTGGGAAACTTGCTGATCCTTCACATGTGCTTGTGGATATTGGTACTGGTTACTATGTTGAAATGGTTAGTTGAATGTATAAGCGAAAGTTTACATAATTCTTGCAGACCGTTCCAGAAGCTGAAAGTCACTTTTCCCGTCGGGTAGAATTTATCAATAAACAAATAAGGAAGATTTTGCCTGTTCTGGAGGAAAAAACGCAGGCACATAAATCTATTTCAGACGTTCTGGATGCTAAAATTCAAGAGTTTATCAAAGTCCGGTTATCTTTTGGGTTTGTGCTAGGACTAAGTTTAGGTAGGTGTTCAAGGGGCTATCCAGAAGTATTTAGGATGCTGTAAGTCATTACAAGTTCACGTCTAAGACTCCTGTACTCTAAGGGACAAGAGCTGCTGATTGGTTTAGTCTATCACAGTCCAACCTGTGAGGTAAATGAAGTCCTGCTAAGCAGTCCCAATACTTGGTCACAAAGTGGTCGATGTCTAATCCCAGGGGACTTTAATGCACCTATGGTAGACTGGGGAAATCTGCAAACTGAATCGTCAGAAAATTCCTTCGAGCAGGAATTAGTTGATGCGCTTATCACATGTGCTGTAGTGCAACATGTGAAAGAAGCGACTAGGTACGACCCGGACACTGAATTATTCTTACTAAGCCTGATACTCACTCACTATGTGGATGACGTTGCGAACCTTTTTTATATGCCACCTCTAATAATAATAATAATAATAATAATATATTTCTGCATGTGCAGGTACACACCGTTTTTACAGGCATGATCTATAAATTATAACATTTGTTGGTTCACAAAATGTTTCCCAACTTATTAAGTTTATAGTTGTTATAAAGTGAAATCGTAGAGAGCTTGCTGTAAACTATGACCTTGAGAGGACGCGTACATCAAGTTTGTTCCAA